GAAACAAAAAAACCTTCTGCGCTGGCAGTTCCTGAATGCTATATTATGTCTGTTTTTCATGCCCCTGAAAGCTCTTGTGAAAACATTTCACTATACTGTATAAAAATGCTTTTTATATTTGGCCAGTGGGGATGGGGGGCAGAGAGCAGATCTAATAATAGAGTGAAAAACATTCTAGATTTTTAAAAACCGAAATCTTCTATGGTAACATTTGTTACCCAGGAGATAAGAGAAGATTATTAACACAGCACAAAATTAGTCTGGATTTTGCAGACATGTAAAGAAAGAAGATGAAACAAGGATTGAACGATTTAGCCCACTTTATGAAATTTCCATTACATGACTGTAAACAATGGTGTCTGAAACTTTTCTTTGTAGTGTATGTATTTCCTTGCCCTTTTCTTGTCTGGGGAGTGGTGTTTGGAATAGTATCATTAAAAATATTTTTAAAATATAAAATATTTAAGTGAAGACTGGATATACATCTATCAAGGATGCTGTAGTTGTATCCTGCATTGCAGATTTTGCATTGAGCAAGGAGTTAGACTAGATGACATCTGAGGTCCCTTCTGACACTGCAGTTCTAGGATCTGACTTGCCACATATTTAGACTGTCTCTGGGTTTGACTTGTCATAGTCTCTGACCACGGTCACACTTGTTTGGCTAGACTTGTATGCTGTACTGCACAGTGCAAATGTTAAATACCGTATTTTTTGCTCTTTAAGACTCACTTTTTCCCTCCTAAAAAGTAAAGGGAAATGTGTGTGTGTCTTATGGAGCGAATGCAGGCTGCACAGCTATCCCAGAAGCCAGAACAGCAAGAGGGATCACTGCTTTCGTTGCACAGCGATCCCTCTTGTTGTTCTGGCTTCTGAGATTCAGAATATTTTTTTTCTTGTTTTCCTCCTCCAAAAACTAGGTGTGTCTTATGGTCTGGTGCGCCTTATAGAGTGAAAAATTCGGTAAATGTCTGTTGTAAGCTGTAACTGAACAATGAGTTTTTCCTCTGAGGCCAAATCAGGCAGTACAACCACCAGGGCATTCATATTTAAGGAAAGGAAGTTGTCAGTGGGAAGTATTAAACAAAATGGGGAAAAAAGCTCTTTTAAAAATGCATTTTATCTCTGATAACCAGGCTTTAGGGATAAAAAAAAAGGTTAGTGTAATTCAAGAACTGAGGAAGTCATAGGATTTCTGGAATTCTCAACAGAAATAATCTCCTGTCCTCATCCTTGCCAAGGATAACACAATCTTATTTCTGAAGGCCAAAGGCTTATTTAGTCCTGTTGCAAAAGAATGAAAAAATGTGATTCTTTGGCTGCAACTCTCCAGTCTAGTGAAGGAGACATAATAAAGCAATTCTAAGGCCAGCAACTGGTACTGTAATGGTAAACCTCAATCAACTGACATTGAGATTGAGCTTTCTAGGCAGGAGCTAGGTTGAAAAACAACAACCCCACATCCCTCAAACTAATCTAAAATTGATCTGGTAGGGATTCTGCCCCTAGTTATATTATTTTGTTGTGATTAGTGAAGGAAGGAATAGGGGGGCTGTGTTTATTTATCCTATTTATCCCCTGCTTTTCAGCCAGCATTGACTTCCCAAGTAGCTAACAATTAAAATCCATACATCCATAACATCCTCAAGGTCCCAGGCCTCAGAGAGGTTAGGCTGGCCTCAACTAGAGCCAGGGCCTTCTCGGCTGCGGCTCCAATCTGGTGGAATGCTCTGTCACAAGAGACTAGGGCCCTGCGGGACCTGACATCTTTCCGCAGGGCCTGCAAGACAGAGTTGTTCCACCAGGCCTTTGGTCAGGGCGCAGCCTGACTCCCTCCTCTGGCAACCTGCACAGAATTTTGCTTAATCGGTTGCCATCAATTTGATTTTAATTTTTATAATGAAATATTTTTAGAATGTGTGATTATTTGACTGTTTGATTATTTGATTGTTGTTAGCCGCCCTGAGCCCGGCTTCGGCTGGGGAGGGCGGGATATAAATAAAATTTATTATTATTATTATTATTATTATTATTATTATTATTATTATACATAGATACAATTACATTATGGGCATAGCATGGGTATAGCAGGTTCCCTGGCCCCAGGCAGTTGATGGCGTAGTTCAAGCACTTCCTTCCAGAGCATGGAAGTGAGATTCTGCAGATAAAATTGGTGGTTGGCTGGTGGTAAAGATGCCAACCCGCAAAAGAAGCACTACCAGATAGAGGATTCTAGCATAACTAAAATTTCAGAGTCTGAAAGATAAATAGTTTTGCTTCTGGTTATGAAAGTTGTGTTGCATGTATTTTTTTTTTAATTGAGTTTTTCATGGATGTTTGTTTCTTGATGGCATGCAGGTCTGTTTTTCTTTAAAAATTAGCAGTTTATTTCACTTGATGCTGAAGCTAGAGGAATCAGAGGCAAATGAGAAGCAAGAGGAATTGGAGTCCTTGCTATTCAGTGGCCTTGCCACCATATTGTAGGAGTAATATGAAAGTGTGTTTTCAGCTTCAAGAGTCTTGCCTGTTAGAAACTCAGATACATAAGCTAGGCACCAAGTGGCTCCTTAAACCAAGGTTACAGTCACCAGAACGAAATGTCTAGTTGCCATTTTGGGGCAAGAAGGCTCTAAAGTCTTATTTTTCAAACGATGGACTGGCTGTGATTGATTCTCAGTTAAACATCTGGCTAGTTCAGATTACAACCTTGAGCTAGGTTAAGAACTCTGAGAACTTAAAGAAGAAAAGTCAATTGATCCAGGGACAGTCCACATAAATATTGGGCTATACCTACCTCTTTTTCTTAATGGTGACTACTCTTGCTCAGACTGCACAGAAAAAGTGTTTTGGTTCCTGCAATTTATTCCAATTGAGCAGATAAAATATAACAGATAGTATTCTACAGGTTGTGGTGTTAGTGTGTGAAAACAGTCAAGATCCAATGATCCCCAGGCATGCACCTCTAGATGATGGAGATGTTAGGCCCATCCTGGTGCCCAGGCATCTTCACTTGGTTGCAAGTGGTCTATAGCCAGGTGCAAAATGTGTCTGGTGGCTGGCTAATTTCAAGCACTGCCTGTATCATCATCATCATCATCATCATCATTATCATTTCATTTGTTTCCTGCCTTTCCATAGTTGAAACTATGCTCAAGGCGGCTTTCAACATGACAAGATTTACATAGTTACAAATATAAAAGTCATAAACAATAAAAAAAACATATCAAAAAGTACACAACAAAATAGCTTTTTGTAGCTGGAGTCAGTCAGCACTCCATTCTCCCAGGCCAGATGGGAAAGGGCCAGCAAGGCAGGGTGCAGGTCTTCCAGGGCTCACAGTCAAGATGGTCTCATTTAAAACAACACAGATAAAAAATTGACAACTGAGGTTCCACTGTACTTAATTTAGAAGTTGGTTAGGAATAATGGAAGTCATGAATGGTTCCATCAGGAGTTTATCCTACAATGTGCCCACCTGGCAACTGAGAAGCTAGAGTCATATTGGTAGTGTGTGGGGGGGGGAGCTCACATGACTGCATGCTTCTCCATGGAGCTGGGGGAGAGAAAGCTAGGCAAGAACCTTTATTCTTGATACCTAGGTTTTCTGTGAGCAGGGGATTCCTTGTATGGGGGGGAACCTTGGCATGTGAATCCTTATGCACAATCTGGAGTGTTGCAATGCATATGGAGGTTTACCACCTGTAAGAACTTGGCTCAAGCACCACCTGAGTATACAGATTCTTAACCACAGGAATGCCCGTTCTTTCTCCTCTTTGTAAATACATCTAAGCCAAAAGAAGCAGAACATAGGAGGTTCATAAGGTGAAACTAGGATTCGTGGAACTAACGGGTACCTTGAACCCTGTTGCTGCCGGTGTCACGAATCAAAACTGAGCTTCGTTATTTGTCTTTTGTTTTCTTATACTGAGAGAACAGGTTGGATGTTTGCCCAGAACTTTTAGTGCTACAATGTTAGGTTGCTCCGACGCTCAACTCCAAATTGCATATAGTACCCCTAGGCTATGATGCTAAGATCAGAACGATATGGGGGCGGGGAGTGGGAAAGCCACTAAGCATTTCTATACGTAATGGGTAGCAGTTGAAATTGTCACTCTGTGGGTGGAAGGAGTATGTCTTTGAAGAGAAAGGGTCCTTCCGTTCAGAGATGCCACCCTTAACCTCTGGGTTTCATACAGTGACAAGAATGCAACCATGCTGAAGTGCCACATTGCATTGTGGGGCACTGCCTAGGTTTTTGCTCCAGACACCAAAGTACTTACACTCTCAGCTCAGTCTTTTAACTACATGGCACAGTCTTAATTGTAGATGTTCTCTAGACTGCAAAGCAGACTTGGAAAATTGCAAGATCCTTGCATCATCTTTCGGGCCCCCTTCCAAATGCCGCTAGGTCTTGGGATTGCAAGATTTCTTCTTGCTACATGAACCAAAGGTCATGAGCTCTTTCCTTATCACTGTACTTTTAGGGTCTAGTCAAATGGACACAGATGCTCTGGAATGTGCAGTTTCCCCAAGGAATGATGTTGGCCTTTAATCTTATGTTTTGCTTAAAATGAAGTCCTGTTTGTTGTCATCAGTCACTAGAATTTGCTTTTCCTGACTCTGGCAATGTTGCAGAGCCACCTTTCCAAAGACTCGCTCACTCTCCTCCCATTCATACAAGTTAAAACTGATGACATAAAAACAGTAATCTTAGTAATAATAACAGTATACATGAGCATATTCACAAAGACTCATTTAGCAAAATAATATTGTTACGGTGTAATTGTATTTCTTCTTGGTGCTCCTTCCTATAGTGCAGATATGTCCTTCAGTCTATTTCCACCTGCTAAATTGTATCTGAAGAAATGTTATATTACTAAATTGGAGTCTCTTTGTTATTTCCTTGAACTGAAAACAATTTTTTTTACAGGAGAAGCAGTGTTCACATATGTCATGACAGATTTAAAACAGCGAATAACCTGCATTATTTCCACTTCTAGAAAAGCTGATTGCTTATCAAAGGGAATTTCATGCTTTGAAAGAACGTCTTCGCGTAGCTGAGCACCGAACCCTGCAGCGGTCTTCTGAATTAAATGCCATCTTGGAGCAGTTCAGACGGGCAGTCGCAGAAACAAATGGAAGTAAGGATGCACTGAGCAGTGTTTCAGGTACAGGCTAATTTTCTGGTTTATTATTATTATTTCTTTAAAAATACAAATTAAAGATTGACATGTTTGCCACTTCACTTCTCTCAATCTTTTTCTCCTTGTGCATTGGTAAATATTCATTGTTGACGAGTTTGTAAATAAAAACTATCCTGTAGACATAGCAATATTTCCTTCCTTTCTCTTTCCTTCAGAATTAACTTTGTTCCACCTTTAGAGTGCATGTGAGAAGCAAGTGCTCAGATTCAGATTTGCACAGGATCTAATTTCTTGCTTTGTACTGAATGTTTGGATGTGAAGGAAATACATTATACCTTGCACCTAGAGATTATTACCTGGTTTCTGTTGCTTTGGTGAAGCAACCTGATATCCAAGCTACGAATACCTAAATAAAATTTCATTTTCCCAGTACGGGAATAAATGTCATTTATTGTAATGTTGGAAGGGACCCCCGGGGGTCATCTAGTCCAACTGCCTGCAATGCAGGAATCTCAGCTAAAACATCCATGACAGATGTCAACCGCTTGTCTATATTTGCATTCTTTCTTATTTCCAGCGTCTTGAGATATGATTTGGTTCCATGGAGGATTCTGGATTTGATCTCTGTATAATGTGTGCAGAGAATTTATCCATTTGGGCCAATGGGGGGGGGGACACACATTCTCTTTGAAAGCCCCCTGGTGCCGAACTTCTTGCTTTGGTGACTTCATTATAGATTAATCATTTGTGGGGTGGAAATACATAAAACCAGATTGGACTCCCTCAGGTGCAAAAACTCATCTAGGCTTTGTTTTTGTAATGACAACTGTTTATTAAACCCATGTAAGTTAATGTAGTAGAGCAATTGGTTAGACTGGAAAACAATTAGTATACTTAGCTTACACAGAACTGCAATTACCAGCATTCCCCAGGCAGAGGGATTGGTTGTAAAACCACTCTTGGAATTGTAGCTCTGTGAAGAGAACAGAAGTTTCCCTAGAACTCTCAGCATCCTTAACAAACTGCAGTTCTCAGGATTCTTAGGAGCTGTTTAAAGTGGTCATAAAGGTAAAGGTAAAGGGACCCCTGACCATTAGGTCCAGTCGTGGCCAACTCTGGGGTTGCGGCGCTCATCTCGCTTTATTGGCCGAGGGAGCCGGCGTACAGCTTCCGGGTCATGTGGCCAGCATGACTAAGCCGCTTCTGGTGAACCAGAGCAGCGCACAGAAATGCCGTTTACCTTCCCGCCGGAGCGGTCATACAATGCTTTAAATGTACAGGGCATTAGGTGGGGACCTAAGCTGCATTCATTTGAAAAAGAGCAGCAAGCCCTCTTCATTTGTGTAGCCGACTTTCAAATGTTGCACAGAATGCTGCTTCCATTCCCAAGCAAACCTCTATTTTGTGACATTCTGTGACTATTGCTTTTATTTTGGAATCTTTTTTAAAAAATATTCTGTTTCATATAAACCTGTGAAATGTGTACAGTTCCTTACACTTTGGGTTAGATACTTGGTTAGGGTCCATTTTGGCTGGATGGCTGCATAGCTATATAATGTATATATTTGTTTTCAGACGAAACGTTAAAACTGCTAAAGGAGTTAACAAGCAGGAAAGCTCTTCAAGTGCCAAATATATATTACCACTTGCCTCATTTATTGAAAAATGAAGGCAGCCTTCGACCTTCAGTGCAGGTGGGCCTTGGAAGAACCGGAGGTAAAACTGACAATATTTCTATGATTGATGCACTTAAAGATGTATACAAACCCTTGTGGCTGTAGCAAAAAGGCTCAGTACATGACTACCTGCAGACAAAAGATACAGGAATCTTACTTCTTTTGTTAGCTGTCTCTTAGAATTCGGGTTGAATCCAAGGTGGAAGAAGCTTGTCTTTAACCTTCTCTTTTATTGTCTCATGCAGATCCCACACTTTTGATGTTAAGGTATAATTAAAAAAAACCCCACTAATTTGAAGCAGCATGCCTGTTCTTAAATAAAGTTTTTAAAAATAACAATGCATGGGTTTTTCCACATGCTCACAAATTAGTAGGCTGGGGTGGAATTCAGTGTTGTGCTATTACAAACGTTCCATCTGTGCAAGCAATTACAGCTTGCCAGATGGAACGACCCTCCTCCCATCCCCTCTCCCCGCATGCTCTTCTGGAGGCTCTCCTGACCCCCCAGAGCCAATTGGGGGCATGGGGGAGGAGAGGTGGGGAAGCCCCTTTGCACAAGGGGAGATCCTTGCACAGGGTTCCACTGATGGGCACATTAAGTGACTCCTGCCCATTGTTTCCATGCTGTGTAGGGACTGTAGAATGTGGAGTATAGGGTTAGGTAACTGGGCCTGCTTTAGTTGCTTATTGCTTTTTTTTTTTTGGCAAGTGTTTAAAGTACACAAAGTAGTTCCAATAAAATATAATCACCTTGGTCCAAGGAGACCAATGCAACTGCTGCTTATTAATTTTTTTGCATGCACAGTGGGGACTATCATTAATTTTTCTCCTTGCCAACTCCTCTGCAGCCCATCAAGAAATGGTCTCTGACACTCCTGAGTCAATAGGATGGTGTTGTACGTAGTAAGGAAAACTAACAGTGCACTTCAGACATTGGCCTGGTTCCCACATGACACTAAACCATGGTTTATAACTTGACCATCTGAACCTGGCCCAGTGTTATAACTATGGTTTGTTAATCACAAACAAACCACACTTGCAAGCCATGGTTCACTGATTGTTTATAAACCATGATTGTAAATGTGTGCTTCTTGTTCTGAAATTGCACCCAGCAAAATTTGGTGTGTGAAGTGACCTGTATAGTATTTCATAAGGCACAGAGGAGTTGTTGTTGAGAAAATGAAGGAAGACTCACTGCATAAGTAGATCTTTGGCCCCAAGGTAAATGGGTTGTACACTCTCCTTCAGTTTTGATTCTTTCATGTTATGCTACTGAATGCCAGTCCTGCAAAACAGATTAGTAGGACTTAGTCATGAAGACATCTCCTGAGAAATGTTCGCTATTGAATTATGGGTGTCTGTCTGCAAAACATTATTTTCACATCCGTTGCTCTGCATGGATTGTTAAGTCTGCATTATCTAGTAGCCCAAAGTTTTCACAATCCAACTTCTGTTGGTTGGCTTTTTAATAATAATAATAATAATAATAATAATAGAGAGGCTTTGCATTTGTGGATTTTGTACTGTTTGGATTTAACGAGATGTGTGTGCTTTAATGCATGTCAGGTATGAAAGGCACATGATCAAGCATTATGGTTTATACGTAGGTATATGTATGCATGAAAACTCTTTTTAATGGAAAGGGTTTCACCAGGCAAGTCACTTGTTGGCAAAAATACAACTTAACATCTGTAGAAAGAAAAGATGGCAGTTCTGGGACAGCTTCAGACAACCAGCGCAGCACCTTCCCTCCCTCCACCCCAAAAACTGTGATAGTTTTCCAGTTGTTCTGCAATGGTTTCTCACCACCCATTGACTGAGGAGGCTGCTTGTGTTAATAGAGTTGATGGGGGAAGGGGTTTCAATTACAGTGGTACCTCGGGTTAATTCGTTCCGGATGTCCGTTCTTAACCTGAAACTGTTCTTAACCTGAAGCACCATTTTAGCTAATGGGGCCTCCCACTGCTGCCGCCCCGCCGGAGCACGATTTCTATTCTTATCCTGAAGCCAAGTTCTTAACCCGAGGTACTATTTCTGGGTTAGCAGAATCTGTAACCTGAAGCGTATGTAACCCAAGGTACTACTGTACAGGAACTGAGGAAGAAAAAGTAGGTGATGCTGATTTTGGATTAGTCATAAGGGATAAGAGCTATGTAGTTAGGAAAAACTCAGAGTAAAGGGAGCTTTTTGGGAGAAAAGTTGTATCTTGCACAATCCAACATTTGAACAAAATTCAGTTTTCCTGACCAAATAGAGACTGAAACGTTGGTCTGAGAGTTTTATACAAACACACTATCCATGAGAGAAACTCCCCCTCCCCCTGCCCAAATGTATGCTTCCTGTTTTGATCATACCTGTAGTATTGAAATTGTTTTTGTTCCTTTACACCGAAATCCAAATCAAACAAACAAACAAAAAAAATCACCCCTTGATTATGCCCTGTTTCACTCTGTTATGTTTTAAAGTATTTTCACACCTTGCGTGACAAACCACATTCTTTCCTGTTCAAACCACCCGAGTGAATTGCTCATTGTTGTTTTTCAGTTTCTATAGTAATGGGAATTCCGACAGTAAAGAGAAAAGTAAAATCTTACCTTACAGAAACTCTTCACTCACTGATTGACAAGCTGTCTCCAGAAGAGAAACTAGACTGTGTTATGGTTGTCTTCATAGGAGAGGTAAGCCCAAGGCAGGCTGTTACCATTGTAGCTCTGTTTCTGATTGCAAGAAGCACCAGTGTGTGGGATGTTACTGCTCCTTATGTTATTTGTAAGTTTTGTGTTTCATCTCTTCCTGCTGTATAGTCATATTGAAAATGTTTTGCCTTCTCTGAACATGAAGAGGCTCACTACGTGTGGAATTATATCTTATTCCACTCTCCTACACTGAGTGGGCTTAAGTTCAGTAGGGAGAATTAAGCAAATCTTTAAAATAGTTCTCATTTAAATACTTTGCTTGCATTTTCATGTGCATTCGTATGGACAGTGAAATAAAACCTGCATTTCTGATGGAAAATGGTGATTTCTGGCTAGGAGCTTGAGCTACGTATGGGTGATATTTTTGTTATTCCTGTAATAAGATACAATTGTGATGCTATCAGATGCTAAAGGCACTTAACAGAGGAAACAGACTTATGCCGCAACTACAGTGATGTTCTGCAAACAAACAAACAAACAAACAAACAAACAAACAAGACAGAGCTTGCCTGTAATTGTGATATGAGAAGAAACGTCTTCCTCCAGTTTCTATCTGGTGCAAGCATGCAATGGCAAGAAGGTAGTCTTCGAGGTGTTGTGGGCACTGCCACCCTGCCTCAGTTTTTTAAACCAGCACCAGAACAGCAGTGTGAACTCTTGCTACTCCACAGCCCAGGAGTATTGCTAGGTCTTGGTGCTGGATATGAAAGTTAATTGGCTGTGCTTTAATTAGTGATAAGTGCCCTGAGCCCAAGCCCATGCTTTGTAACAATCCAGAACAATTGAGGATTAGACATTAAGATGAAGATTTTTAGAATTATGCAATCCACTTGCATGATGCTTTTTTACTAAGACTGGCCAAATATATGCTTTTGACCTGAAGACCTTGCTGTCTAAATTTTGATAGAAGGGGAGAGAAAGGGAGAGAAAAATATATTAATAAGGAATGGACATGAGTATACAATTACATGTATAGTCTTGTTTATTAAATTTGTATACTGCCCTTCACCTGAAGGCACTGCTGATCTGGGTTCTGGTGTTACCCAGATTTCCTGATTTCATCTTAGGCAAAAAGCACCTGTGCTCATTGAACCTATAATGGGGCATTTTGCTTTCTCTTTCTTGTTTAACTGAAAGAGAATAAATACATTGTGTGCATTAATACATGACTGTTGAATTGCCTAATTAACTGGATAGGTACTAACACAAAATGAGTTTGCGCGGCTGTAGCAAATTTAAGATCGATTGAGAAGGGTCAGGAAACTGACTTATTTCTGGAGGCTAATCTGTTAGAATACAAAATATCATCCAAACAGTTCTTCAGTACTCTGTCCCCACATATGTTTCAAAGAAATTAAGTGACTCTCCAGAGTCCAGACATTTGATTTTACTATTATCAAATCACATTTAGTCAGTGTTATTTTTCTAGAAAAAGAGGTGCTGGAATTCCCCATGTGTTCTTTTATAATGGCAATGGGGCCCATCTGAAAAGTGCTGGAACTGAGTTCCAGCAAGTTCCTGCTGAAGAAAAAGCCCTGCAATTAGTTCAAATAAATCCCTAAAGGTGTAACTCTACTCTCAATCTTTCAACATTAATTTATTTTGTAAGTTCTGCCTGAATATTAAGTAAAAAACTGGTCTTTCTAATTGGAAGGATTTTCAAACACATCTCTAGGTATTGTGCATTTACCCTCCAACCCCTTGTCATCGGGTAGTTAGCTTTCCAATGCATTTTACACTTGGATTGGAGGTTAAGCAATAAACAGTGAGATAATCAGAACAAACGTGGCATATGGTAATTTAGAGAGAGTAAATAACTGCCCAAACCTAGGCTGTGATCTGCCACTTTTTGCAGTAATGTTTTTTTCAGTTGCCTATTGCAGGTTAAAGTGAAAAGCGGGGGGGTGGGGGGGATGTGGTGGGAGAGCAGAGAGAAAAGAGCAAACTGAGCTGTGGAAATGCCATACAAAACCAGGACTGTGTTTGGTTATCAACCAACATAAGGACATAGGAAGCTTCCTAATACAGTGGTACCTCGGTTTACGAACTTTTCCGTTCTGGAAGTCCGTTCTTAAACCAAAACCATTCTTAAACTGAGGTGCATTTTCCCTAATGAGGCCTCCCACCGCTGGTGCCCTTCCACTGTTCGGCTTCCGTTCTTAAACCAAGGTAAGGTTCGCAAACTGGGACACTACTTCCGCTTTTGCTTAGTTCGTAAACTGAATAGTTCGTAAACAGGGCTGTTCTTAAACTGAGGTACCACTGTACTGATTCAGACCATTGGTCCATCCGGCATGCTTTGTTTAAATCAGTGTTCCCCAAACTTGGGTCTCCAGCTGTTTTTCAGACTACAATTCCCATCATCCCTGACCACTGGTCTTGCTGGTTAGGGATGATGGGAGTTGTAGTCCAAAACAGCTAGAAACACTGGTTTAAATTGACTACTAGGAGCTCTGCAGGGTTTCAGACAGGAGACCTTTCCAGCCCTACCTCAAGATCCCAGGGATAGAACCTGGAATCTTCCACATGTGCTTTACAACTGAAAATATACTCTTTATGCTGAAATACCTTTAACAGCAGCCAGAAGAGTTTTAGACAAACTGTAGAAGCCTGCCAGTTCTCTGTACATTTTTTTAATTATATAAATTTGTAACGGTGAGGCTTGAAAGAGATTGCTTAAGCTAACTTCATTAGAAATATGAATGTGCTCCTTTATAATACAGTTTGAGCTGTACAAAATGAGCATTGTGGAGTATCTCCTGTCCCCAGAAAATTTTTTGGGAACATATACTGTACCTTGTTTGCTAACCAAGGCAGCCAGCTCTGCAAATATATGGTTAAGACTGTTTACCATGACTCTACATATTGCTTATTTAACTGCAGAAGCTACTATTGGCATTGAGCCTGGAGCAGCAACAGAGTTAGTCTGGAAGTTATGTAAACCTGTATTTGATGTAGTACACTTCTGTGTTGCATGTTAAAGGAGGAATTATTGTACGAAGTTTTCTTTTTTTATAAAAAAAGCAAAAACAGTCTTTATAAATGGTGCACCAATTTCTAAATTGGAGCATGTATTTTCCCCAAACTGTACTTCCATCATGGAGATATTGCAGGTTCTCAGTACTCAGACACCTACAGTTCTTTTACCCAAGGAAAATGCCATTTAGCCCCCTAGATACCTCTTCTTTGCTGTTACAACTGATGTAATACAATTGATTTCATAGATCTATGAACCAGGGCACCCAATGCAGGAACTGGGAAGACCACACAGCTTCCAAAGAGAGCTTGGTACACAAATCAGTGTGAAACCAGAGGGTAACTCATGGGCTCTGTGCATGGTAGAAAAACAAGTGTGAAATACAGGAGAGGCTTTGTGAGTCAGTTTCCCACTGCATTTCCTTTAGCACCACACTTCAGAGATGAGAGCACTTGCAAGGTAGATGTGTATTGTAGACAAGTGAGATATTTCTGATTATTCATTTTAGCACTTTGCTTGTGTCTGTAAAAATTCAACTTTTAGTAGTTTATAGTTTTAGATATGATCAGCAGGGGGAAAAACTCTTGGCTGGTATGTATTGAACCACATTTTGTTTCCCATGCCTTGTTGGAACTTTCGTGCAGGATGGAAGGAAGTGCAGGTCAGTTTGTTGAAGTTAGCACAAGAAGAGCAGGGAACGTTCTGTATTTGTTGCTTTTCCTTAGGCTGCCCTCAGAGGTAGAATATTCCAGGGTGGTGGTTTGTTGGCACTGAGACACTCAGAGTAAGCAAAAGCGATGCCTTTTTATTTGAAAGGTGTGTTAGACTGCAAGGTAAGGTAAAGGTCGCTTCACAGCGCAAATATGTTAATACATACTGCCTTTAAAGTTATAAAACAATCTAAATATACAACATGAAAAACCCTACAGATTGCATGTAGGGCAAATGTATCAAAAACAACCATGGTGGCTTAAGCAGTGTACGGTAGTTTAGCAACCATTTGAGCTACGTGCTTTTCTAATGGATTTGGAGAGATTTTTCTGTACCCTTGGGGTAAATTCAGATTTGAGATTTATATAGAGCAGGATAAAAGCCTCTTCATTCCCCAGATCCGTTCAGAAACTAATTTTTGTGTGTGTGGCAAGATGTGATGACACAAATGTACATATCCATTGTTTCTGTAAGTGGGAGAAGCAACCTGGGGAAGGTGGAAAAGGGAACAGGAATGAGACTTAGGTTCCAAGGAGTTTCTGTGAGCCATCGGTTCGAGTCCTACCTTCCAGAGCAGGAGAAAACAAGCTCGCTCCATCTTCCATGTGACAGCCCTTGAGATATTTGAAGCACTGATGTGCTGGCCAGTGTGTGCGATTGAAATCAACCCCTTGCTATTCTGTGTTTGAATGGACACATTTTGTGACCTCTGTCATGCTAACTTTTTGATGAACATTAATCATTAATTTATGTATTTAAATAATTTCTAAGCCACTTCACTGCTACTTGAATTTTTTGGGGGAAATGCTGTAGAAATTATACAATCATTTAAAACTAATTTGTTATACGAGGTTCAAAGATGTTCCTTTAAAATGTCTCTTTTTCTCCCCCCAGACAGATCTTGATTATGTAAATGGCGTTGTAGCAAGCCTAGAAAAGGAGTAAGTTTATTTCATTGTTTATCCATTGTTTATTTCAGTTTTTTTAGTAATAGTTTTCTTCATATGCATGGGTTGCATACTGTGGTAAATTGCATGGAGCAATTAGATGGTCTCAACTTGCAAAACAGCAAATGGGATTAAAAGGTTCAGTCTGTCATAAACGGATTATGTTGGAATGAAATAAATGGATTGCAAAGCACCTATGCTAAAGCTGCTATGCTAGTGCTGAAGTATAGAAGCAGCTACGTGCATACTTAAGAAGTTAATGCATATTGTGGTTTTAAATAATAGATTATGAGAATTAAGGCCAGACCTTAAAGCAATTTCTGCTTTTGTAGAAGACCCGGCCCGGCTGCCAGTTCTTGCTAGTTGCAGCTGCTTGTGCGCTGTTGGATTCTATCCCAGTGGGATTTTCAAGGACATAGGGAGGTTTTGTGGAAGGGAGAGATCACGCAGAAGTCACCTCACAGCCTTTGGACCCCAACCTGTACATATCACTTTATATATGAATCTACATTAGTGGTTAAGCCAGGCATAGGCAAACCCGGCCTTCCAGATGTTTTTGGGACTACAACTCCCATCATCCCTAGCTAACAGGACCAGTGGTCAGGGATGATGGGAGTTGTAGTCCCAAAACTTCTGGAGGGCCAAGTTTGCCTATGCCTGGGTTAAGCTGATATTAACTTGGCCACAATATGATTAGGCTGATACTAATTCGCCCAGTGCTACTGGGTGAGCACTGTGACTGTACAGAAATTTGAACCAACCCAGCTCCAACATTTTATCACCACATTGGGTTTTGGAGGGTAGCGTTCCTAGAATAGTATATAATGACAATTTTGAACTTTCTGAATACAGGTTTTCTAAAGAAATCAGTTCTGGCTTGGTGGAAGTAATAGCTCCACCTGCATCCTACTATCCTGACTTGACAAACCTAAAGGACGATTTGGAGGACTTCAAAAGAAAGACGTCAGGTAAGAATTTCTCAGGGTAAGGTAAAGGTAAAGGTTACCCCTGCCCGTACGGGCCAGTCTTGACCAGACCTCTGAGGGTTTGTGCGGGCCCATCTTCACTCAAGGAGGGCCGGGGGCCAGCGTTTTGGTCCGGAGACACTTCCGGGTCACGTGGGCCCAGGTGACCAAGCCTGGCATCTGGCGAGGCCAGCCGCAGCACACGGAACGGCCGTTTACCTTCCCGCTAGGTAAGGCCAGTTCCCTTATTTATCTGACTTGCACCCGGCGGGTGCTTTTTGAACTGCTAGTGTCGGCAGGGCGCTGGGACCGGAAACAACGGCGAGTGCCACCCGGCCGCGGGGATTCGAACCGCTGACCTTTCGATCGGCAAGCCCTAGGCGCTGAGGCTTTACCCACGAGCGCGCACCACGTCCCAGATTTCTCAGGGTACTGGGAATAATTAACTTCATTCATTTGTAGATTGTAGAGTGCATTGAAAATTCAGGACATGGGAAATTTCGATAAATGGAAACTGCACATGTTCCCCCTCCCCCTAGTATTAATAATAACTGGGGGTGAAACTACTCAGATAGCTACCATAGGGGGAGAAACCTAATCTCTCTGCACCATGCTATTCTCTGGTTTTGAAATCCCCTCTCCATGACTGTTCACCCTACAGGGCAAAACGTATAGGTACTTGAAATCTTGTTGCTTCTTTGTGGGACTGCTTGGTAAGATGCTTGTAGCAGCACAGCTGGACAGCAGTTGGCTTGGTGGGAGAATCCTGCAATGAAACAACTGAAGGGCAGACTACATTGCTTCTGGCAGGTCAGCTCCCAAATGGTGCCTCCAAGACTTCAGGGTTCACCACCATTATAGGAATGCTACCTCCTGAAACCTTGTATATGCCTTCATTGCTTACTGAGATGCTTAGTTTAGAAAACTAACTGTATTTAATTTCAGATGGCGGACAAAGCAGAATCTGGATTATTGTTTCCTTATGATGTATGCACAGAAAAAGGGTGTTTACTACATTCAGGTAAATTGTTGCTGTTGTTTTACTTTGAATGGTGAAAACTAATATCCAAGACATGTCCTGTGCTCTTGTAATCAGCATAAGAACAGTTATTTAGTTGAATTGCAGTGTTGGCATAGTATATGGGAATTGTTTATAAGTGTTTTATAGATAGACCAAACAAACAAACAAAAATCCAAGCCAACTAAGGGTGATGGGTACGTAAATCATAGCTTTTTAGGAAAATAGAGCTAAAACAAGTAAGGTGATTTGTAGTTGTGTTTTCCCTTTAAATGTTTTAATTTAAAATATAAAATGCCTTAGTTAAATATTGTTGGGGTTTTTTTATTGTTAAAAAATGATGCTAAGATTCTTTCCAGATTTAGCTGCTTGAGCAAGCCTGCGTTTATTACTTTAGAAACAGCTGTAATTGCCAAGGTGATGCTTTGCAAATATGGTTTAGTTCGTCACATATGGCTGCAATAGGACCAAGATTGATATGCACATGCTTAGTTTCACACACTGTCTAAGTAGCTGACTCTAATTCAGTGAATCTAATTTGCTCCTGTAAAATGAGCAGCTGCGTCATTTCTTGCCTGAATAGGATTTACAGTAAGAGCAAAAGCCTGTAATAACTACAGAGCTGCACAAATGTTTTTTTCCAGTTCTGCCTTCGATCCTACATCATCAAAGTAAACTTGGAAATAACACATTTTATCCTTTAAGTGATTCTCCTGCAGTTCCTTGCCCCCGCATAAAGCCAGCCATTCCATATCCTATCTGCACAAAAAAGATGGGATTGCAAAGAGAAATGGATAGAGTTGCTGTCTGACATGATAATTCCTGCACTATTTGGGGTTTTTTCCCTGGTATTCCCTTCTCACATGCACAAGCTTTTTGGAAGTTTATTAGATCCCAGTCCTTATATAACTGTGTCCCTGTACAATGAACAGCTTTTAAAAATCCTATTGTGCAGGGTTGTTTTTGTTTTAAAATATGCTGTCTCTCATAAAAAACCCTCTCTGTTGATATTGTTCCACCAGTGTTATTCCATGTGATAAATCTAATTGTGTAGGTGGATTTTAAAGCCTTGTGGTCATGCAGTCTCTAGTTTGGCACCATGGAAAGAAATAATATTGGAGGTGTTGTGTTGTTTCCGATTGTGACCCTCTTGTTGACTGAATGCATTTTTAAGCTTTTGGAAGATTCCATTAGTGGAAACGTGGGAGGTGATTTTTGCTGTTTTCCCCTTCAGCTTCCTTTGCACCCCTTGAACTCTACTCCAGAAGTTCGGGGCACCCATGGAACAATATGTTCGGTGGGAGAGGGGGAGTCACAACTGGAGATCGGGGGAATTTGTGTCCATGGTTCTCATGGAAGCCTGCACTGAATCAAATGTTGGATTCAGACCCTTCTCAAATATTTCTGTTTAGATGATGACCAACCTAGGGTCTCTTCAACTCTAAAAATTTATCAGTAATGGGCTTCTCATAAGGCAAGAAGGTTAAACCTCAATGAGAAAAAATAAACTTGTTAGCAAGGAGACATGTTCTTGTTGATGGGCAATGTAGTTTTGATCACCAAAAGCATGTTTTTGTTTTCCATTTAATTTCTGAGTTAACAGGACAATCCTGCTCAGAAGTAAGTTGCAATTAATTAGTGAGATTCAGGGTACTTCCAGATAGAGACTGGAATAGTGCAAACAAGTCATTCAGATGTCACAACAGTAGGGTGTGTTTTCCCCCATACTGAATTTTGCTTGGAAAGGGTAGATTCAGATTAAATTTGAAACAAAATATGCACTGGTATTTTGATGCCCATGATGTTCTGGGGATGCTGCCAATTTTTTTTATTTAAAAAATGCATGCATGAAGGGCAGGCATCTTGCAATATACCCCTTACCGTGTATAGGATTGCATCCTCTCAGAAATGATTGCCCTTTTTATTTATAGTTTGCAGTCCCCTCCCAGTGATTGCAGTTGAGGCAAATAATGAGGTTGTGTCTAACAAAGTCATTCTATTAACACCACGACTTCTGCTTCAACAATGTAACTTCTTCTCCTCTCTGTGTTCCCAAGAACATTTTTGGGGGTGCGTGGGGGGAAAGTGAGGGAAGAAAAGTTATGTTAATGGAATACATTTGTTGGATGCAGCCCAAGAAGTTCAAATGTACGTTTGAGTTTGAAATGTGGTTTGCCTAACACACTCTTTTTCACATTTCGTTTCTTCTTTTCGTTTGCTGGTCTTGCTCTTCGGCTCCCTTAGCTTGAGGATGACATTGTTGTCAAGCAGAATTACTTCAGCACAATAAAAAATTTTGCGCTTCAGTTGTCATCCGAAGATTGGATGATTCTTGAATTTTCTCAGCTGGGATTCATTGGTAAGAGAAATTCTTCTTCAGCAGGTTTGAAAGGGGCAGAGGAAGAGGTGTGCAGTGGGGGTGGGCTGCCCCGGGTGTCCCCACTGAGGGGGTGACAAAATGCTGGGCGGCACTCACTGCGGGGCCTGCAGCACACCTGAGCCACGCGTCTCTCCTGAGCCAAACAGTCTGCCTGCCGCCTCCTCCCTCCCCCTCAGCTGTAGGGTGGCTGAGTGGGAGGAGGCAGGCAGACTCCTCAGAGGCACCGCTTACCCTGCCTTGCAGGCAGCTGGCCCCACCCCTGTGTGCCGCCCCAGGTGCCTGATCAGCTTACTCCGCTGCTGGGCAGGTGCAGGGAAGGGCGGAGAGAAGAAGAGAAATCCAGCACTCTGGTAGGGAATCCACAAAAATGTCTCAACTTTTAAAATATGGAAATATAGTGAGTTTTTAATTCTTTTAATTTTGTGGCTTTCCCAGCATACTTCCACATATTCAGTTGCATGCTGATTGTTGTGACAGAATCCAGCTGCTGAAAGTTAGAATAATTCTATAGCAGTGGCTGCCATCTCAGAACATGACAAATTTCTATATGGGCTCCAGTAATTTAAACTATTTCCCATGGAAGTTAGGCTCAATGAAGAGCTGCCCTCATATTAGAAGTTTCCCACTACAGCTTTCTGCCTCTATCAAAGCCAGTGACTTCAAACTTTTTGCTTAGAAACCTTTCCTTTTCAATATGGTATTCACTTGACTGAAGAGGGCAGATTCCTCTGCTCTCATTGCGATGCTCCTACCTTTGAAGTGAAGAGGGCAGCGCTTGTGGACAGAGAAGCTTAATCCGCTGTCTTATGGCTCCTGTACATGCATAATGTCTGTTGATCAGATTGAATGAGGAACCTGAAACATTAGAGCTGTAGATCTACCACAAAAGGGTGGAATGTGATTTTCAGTGCAGATTATGGGAGACCAATTTTTCGGAATTGTAATTTTTTAAAAGAATCATTGTTGAAGACATGAAATGGGTGGGGAGAAACATAGCACATGTTAAGTTTTTGTTAAATCTATAAACCAAGGAATATCTGGGTAACTTTCTCCCAAGATTCTCAGTCTGCAGACCTTCTGCCCCAAATTATTTGAGTGCCATCTTTTCTTTTACTAGTTTGCGTTAAGATTCTTTAAAAAAAGCAACCCACCAAATCTTCAGAGGGTAGGGTTTTTTGAGACCAGATATTTATATATAATTTATAGCCTGCTTCTGGAATGTCTGTTACTTTTAGTCACACTAGTTAAAGTGGCTCTTTGGGGGTGGCAGGCTGAATTTGCATTTACAAAGCCCTGGATAGCTGCTGATATAACTTCATTTTATTTACAGGTAAAATGTTTCAGTCTCCAGATATTACACTCATTGTAGAGTTCATATTTATGTTTTATAAAGAGAAACCTATTGACTGGCTCTTGGATCACATTCTTTGGGTGAAAGTTTGCAACCCCGAGAAAGATGCAGTAAGTTTTGAGTGTTAAGTATTTCATTAAAAATACTGTCTTATGTGAATGGCCTGGTTTGCATGTAATGCAAAGCCAAACCACGACTTAGGGTGAATGAGCAAATGGAGAGAGGATTGTGGCTGCTTTGGTTCCACCACTGCACTGCTGAACAAAGCCATGGCTTGGCTTAGTGCAAGGGTGTGGCCCTCCAGATGACCATTGACCATGCTGATGGGGGCTGATAGGTATTAAGAGTTCAGCAACATCTGGAAGGGCACAGGTTCTCCATCACTGGCTTAGGATGTCATCTGAACATCCTAATGGTTTAGCTCTCTCCAGACAAACCACCAGTTCTAGACAATAGGAGAAACCTTGATTACAACTCATGCTTCGTCTGGAAGGAGCTAAGCCATGACCCTGGGTTTGGATGACATGCCAACCTAAACCATGACTTATTTTCAGCACAGTGCAGCAGTGGATTGACCAGGGAGGAGCAGAAAAGCCATGATTTCCTCTCCAGGAGCCTTCAAGTGTGCTTGTTCACACTAAGCCATGCTTTAGCTTAGCATTACATGTGAACAAGAACAATGTAAGAAGTCACTTTATTATGGATATCTTGGTGAAATAAGGGTACTGCCATCTGGAAGCACCATAAGAGGAAGGGAAGTGGCGTCTCTTTTCTTCTTTCACACATTACAGTACTGCATAGGGAAACAGAAGCATTTACTATTCTGTGAAATCTGTGGGAAGCTCTGATTTGGCAACCATTATCGTACGGCGGAAATGGTTGTCTTAATGGAAAAATGAAATATAAACATAATGGGGCGCTACAAAAGTAGTGGCCAACAACCATTTTCTAATTTCTTCAGACTGGTGAGGATGTAAAATGCTTATTTGAAAAGGTGCGAGCAGAAGTTAAAGCCTTTTGTTTGTAGGGGAGCTAAAATCTCTAAAAGGTGTATTTTATTATGGCCTCCCAAGAAACCTGAGCACTTGACTACGTTAAAAACAAAGTTCCACGTCTCAGACTGTGCCTGTGCAGATGGCATAACTGCTAAAATTAGCAGAAGAGTTGCACAGAATTACTCATCACCATGGTTCTTGTAATAGACTGTAATTATGGTGGCCTGCCGTCTGGGTGTTGTGATTCCTTTGGCATTGACACTGATCTGTTATACTGAGCTACAGATGTGAATCATTCTGGGTGCAGCCTTCTTGGTTTCTTCCACACCGTAAAACCCACTTTGGTCTACTGAGTGCTATTGATAAATTCCTGCTTTCTGTTGAAGTTGGGTTGCTATGAGAGGGGGATGATGGACTGCCTTCCTTGATAGTTAACATTTCATCCCTTGGCAACAGGGTCTTTGATCTTTATGGGGGCAGGTTGTGCTGTTCTTTTTGTGACAGTAAGGTTTTCTTTTCTCCTTGAATGAAAGGCAAGGCATCAATCAAAACTACGGGGCTATGGAAGGCCGGCATCAAGAACGCTGCACAATATTTTGGCTCACTTATTTTTAAGTCATCTTGCATAAGGATAGCGTTTAACTTGTTCTGCGTTACTAAAGTCTTCCCCCACACCCCAACTTTTCCTTTCAGAAACATTGCGATAGACAAAAATCAAATCTCAGAATACGCTTCAGGCCTTCACTTTTCCAGCATGTGGGTCTGCACTCCTCCCTAGCAGGAAAGATACAGAAACTTACAGTGAGTACTTTATGCTTCCTTTCCTTTTATTGGAAGACCAGGTCTTGCAACTTGCATACTAAGCAATCTTCTGGGTAATGTTGGAAATTACATCTGTCTCTGGCTACTGCAAGGCCCCACGGTTGACGATCAAATATGATAAAGCAAAAGTGCCACTGGTTGTGATGGGTCTACTCCTTTTTCTCCTATTCTTGTGACCCCCATCTTCACCAGAGGTTCCCCCACCCTCCAGAGTAGATTTTGGGATACATGAAGGCTAAAGAGGGATGGAGGAGCAATAGTTTCATTGTGTAATATTGTCAGTGAGGGAGAGGATATCACCCCTTGTTTGCTACAGGGTAGAGGGAAAATCTTGTTCTTCTCATCTCTAATAAAAGCTGTTATGTTCACTCTCTCTTTTTAAGTAAACTTTCTTAAAATTGTAAACTTGTTGATTAATGTTAATTGACTTTGAATTTTCATTTAACTGCAAAATAAGCCAGTAGCAGGGAGAAAATATATTATGGCTGATGGCCAGCTTGACAACAGAGTGAGGATCAATAATAACTGCAGAAAAACCAGAAAAGGAATACAGGAGACTGAACAATAGACTCCCAACGTGTGTTGAGAAAAATTTCCTGCCAAGGGAAATCTTTAATGCCTCTTGATAAAAGCTGCTTCAGGCAGGTTTTTTTGGTTACAGCTCACTGAAGCAGAGTCTGTTTTGTATCTGACCTCTTCTTCGGTTCCTAGCTTAATGAATCTTAACGTCTTTTTAGGATAAAGACTTCCTGAAACCATTATTGCATAAAATTCATGTCAATCCACCTGCAGAGGTTTCTACAACTTTGAAGGTTTATCAGGGTCATGCTCTTGAAAAAGCCTACATGGGTGAAGATTTCTTTTGGGCTGTTACACCAGTTGCTGGAGATTATATCCTCTTTAAATTTGACAAGCCTGTCAATGTGGAAAGGTAAGTGCTTCCATGACAAAACGAAGCTTCTGCTGAACGGTGTCTTGAAATGAGGTTGGAATTACAACAAATCGACTAGCTTTATAAACAATTGTTCATGGCATCCGATAGAATGATTAGTTTGCTTGTTGGACTTTTTTTGTCAAATGTTTGGTATTTTAGGCAAAACAAAGCCACACCGGTTGTTTAGAATTAAAATAGCCCAGTTGTTATTTGTGCCATTTTGGAATGCATATTGTAAATTTGGCTCCGTGCAATGTCACTTTTCTTCTTGCAAAGAAAAACTTGTGCAGGAAACCATTTTGTACTGTTAGGTTAGGATAGAAGTGTACTGTTAACAGATTTTAAGTTCTGTTAAGTTCTAAGTGTATTTAGCACTCAGCTTTAATGTTTTCGTGCACACATCCCTAGGGAATTCTTTCCAGTTTCCGTTGCTTAGACATGCTTATTAATCCTGTCATGAGGTTGGAAATGAATTTTGCAGAAGAGCTTCATGGTCATTTAAATTAAATGCTGGTGACTAAGCAGAAGGGTATATCTTGGAGGTTAAATGATCAGCTAGGTTATCAAAATTTCACATTGGAATAGGTCCTTAGGAATCTGACAGATGAAGAGTCATCCTTGTTTTAAGATCACTGACCCTGAACTTGTTCTCAAAATATTACAGCTGTGGGTTAAGAAGCAACTACTTGCTGATTTCTGATTCATCCACTAGAGATATTGCTGGCAGAGCTTACTTGAAAAAAGTTGAATTGTGGGTGCCCCACCAAGGGGAATTTTATAATTGCCAAATTTTGTCTTTTGTGTAAACATCACAAGATGTTTCTATGGACAATTTGTAACCCAATGACCTGTCGCAACTTGCACTCCACCTCCACCTCACTTTTTAAAACAGTAAAATTGATTTATCTTTTGAAAGGTACTAATTATATCATGCTTCTTCATGATCATTTTGCAATACCTTGGGCACAGATTTGGGGTGTCTCCCGCACCACTTCAATTCAAAAAACAACCCAGGGGCTGTAAGTGGTCTACAAAATTAGTTTATAATGCTATAAACTAATTTGGGGTAGTTAAGTGCGCATGGGCTGTTGTTAATCTGGAAGGATGAGAAACAAGACAAAGTTAAGTTTTGCTGTCAGCATGGCAAAATAGATGTAAGTTGTAAGATCAACTAGCTTTACCAACACCCCCAAACTGAATGTTATCTTTTTGAAAATGGAAAGTCGTAATGTCACTCTGACATCCATATTAGATAATAGGCAAGGGTATTTTCAGTTGCAATTTACTGATAAGAAGATAAATTTTTATTTGTCTTTCTTTGATCTCTACTGCAGAGAGAACATAGCAAAATGGTGTTCAGAACACTAAATATTACATTTTTCAAATCCTACATCAAATTGCTTCAATAATTACTGATTTTAAAAATTAACAATGAGAGGCATAGCACAGATTCGATAATTTTCTCTCCTGGTTTCAACAAAAGGGAAACATTATTTCAAATAAAGGAAGATCAGTTTTATATTCTGTTTGAACAATTGGGTTAGAAACCACAGACTTCATTTTTACACAACCATTAAAAACTCAGTCATAGATGTCTGTCTCCAGCAGATTGTTACTGATTTGTTTCATGTTGACAAGGAAACTATTAGCTGAAATGCTGAAAAATAAGCTCATTTTTTAACAGCTGCCATCTTGAAATAGGAATATTTGTAACACAAGATGCTCCTTAAAATAGGAGATGTTATGTCCTATTGTATATTTTACAAAATTGTCTTGATAACATTAATGTGTGCAGCAATTAGTTTTGCTGAGGCAAATGTATTATTAGGACCAGGGAACCTTTTCATATGTAAATGTGTATCATATGTTGTAAGGAATGTTACCTGAACTCTTAAAGGTTTTACTGACATTTCTGTGGAGGTTCAAATGGGGGTGAAAGGACCTTCTTTGCCTTGATTTTCCTCATGCAACAGTAAAGTTTGTCATGGTGCAAAAGTAGCATTTCCATTCAAGTTAAGTCTTCTGTTTCATTCAACTCACAGGGGCTTTTTCTACACTGAAGAGATCTTGCCGCATGGATTTGAAGATATGTACAATATAATGATGTAGCTGCTTCCCTTAACTTAAAGTTCAAAACAGTTCTGAAGTAATATTTTGTGTGAAGATTGCTTACAGTATATTAAACAAGGCAGCAAGTGACAGATTTACAACAACATGTTGTTGTGTATCCTGATACCAATTAATCTGTGCTTGTGTTCTCGTCATCTGTGTGTAGGAATTGAGTCAGCTTTAATTCATCTCTTTTGGACTATTTATATATGTAATTGTATTCAGCCATTCAGGTTTCAGATGAATTTCTATCTACATCTATTTTTTGGCCATCTGCTTGGTAAATACTACTTTACAACTGCTTTGAATTTTAAGATAAGGGAAGCAGTTGCATATATGTAGATGGAAAGTACTGTAATTTGAAGCTGTGGAACGGAGTATTTCTTTGAAATAGAAGCTGCTTATGTAAAATGAATAAAATTAGAAGAATTAACTTTGTATGGAGATGTTTCCTGATAAGACACAAACGGAATAATCCGTGACTATTTACCTGGAAGTTAACATGTATAAATTGAGACTTTTCTCTCAGATAAGTGTGCAATAAGATTGCAGGAACTTCATTTCACTATTGGTCAAATGAATGGTTACGGGGTGGGGGTGGGGAGCAAGGAACAGAATTGCTTACATACATTGGACTTTACTTTCTGCTATCATGCTGTAATGTGTAAGGATTTATAACTGTATAGGCAGTCTTCTTTTTTACAGCTTGCAAATAACAGAAATAAGTGAAAGTGATTTATATTTAGGGGTTCTTTTGGTCAGCTTTTCTCATGATTTACTTGAAATCTGCCCAAACAATTGTGCCCTTTGGATCGCCTGCCCAGAGTCCTCCTGTTGCTGTAGCTTGTTGGGCTCTTCCCAAAGCATCACCCCCCCCATGTTCCTGCCTAGGACCTCACACTTCCCTCTAGATAGGATGTCTAGTTTGCTTTTAAGTCAAGTAGCTTGTCCTTTCCCCTTTGAAGAAATATTCACAATTTTCATGTCACTGTCTGTGCATGCCAAAATAGCACTCCTGACAAAAGATCTAGATTTGTTTAAAGCAGGGGTAGCTCACCTGTGGCTTACAGGTGTTGTGGGACCAACTCCTATCCGTATCTATTCACCATGCTGGCTGGACTAATGGGAGTTGATAGTCTTAACAACAAATTCAGGGGGCAAGGTTACCCATTCATGGTTTGAAATTACTGAATTGATTTGGGGGTTGTAATATAAACATACTTCTTATTTAAACATACAGTGGTATGTTGGGTTAAGAACTTAATTAGTTCTGGAGGTCCGTTCTTAACCTGAAACTGTTCTTAACCTGAGGTACCACTTTAACTAATGGGGCCTCCCACTGCCGCTGCGCGATTTCTGTTCTCATCCTTAAGCAAAGTTCTTAACCCAAGGTACTATTTCTGGGTTAGTGAAGTCTGTAACCTGAAGCGCCTGTAATCCGAGGTACCACTGTAGTTGAATTCCTTCTAGGCATCCTTACACCGATAGCGGTTAAGAACATACAAATCTCATTTGACAATTTTAGTCCATTATGATTCCTTTGACAGCTGTGTACAAGCACCAGGGGCAGTATTCAACTATCATATATCATCAGTGCAAGGATTTGTGCCTTGCTAATGAGACTCCCCCCCCCCCCCGTCCTTCTCCTGGATGCACTCCAGCTATCCCCAAATCTGCTTGAGAGTGTTGGAGGAACCCCTAGAACAGATAGACGGAGCATGTAGGGGGAGGAGAGGTGGAAAACCTTCCATTGCACAAGCAGAAATACTTGCACTGATGGAGCATTTAGTTAGCACCATGTTGGATACAACACAATGTTATAATTTTTCAACGTGCTTTCGTTAAATCTTTTGGGTGTCACTGGCAGCAGTCTTTTCCATACTTACCTGGGAGTAAACCCCTTTGAACACATTAACTTCTAAGTAAACAGGATTTTGCAGGGTTTCGGTCTTTTAGGTGGCCTTTATATGTTTCCATACTTCTCATTAGCCATGACTGATCATCTTGGGCTTCTTAATCTTCGCATTTATAGATTCCTGTTCCATAGCGGCAACCCAGAACACCCAGGAGATATATTCGTCAACACAACAGTGGAAGTGTTGCCTTTTAAGGTATGAAGACAGAGAAGTCTGTCCCCCCCCCCGTTGTATTTATCTTAAGGGTAAACATGAGTATCTTTCATATATGACACTTCTATTGATGTAAGAGAATGTGGGTTTTCTCCCTCCCCAATGATAGAACTATTAATCCCACCAAATCTTATCTCAAAAAACTGGAATAATAATAATAATAATATTTTATTTATACCCCGCCCTTCCCGGTTCAGAAAACCGGGCTCAGGGAGGCTAACAACAAATTTAAAACACTTAATTGATGCAACAAAAAACAGCATAAAATACAGTAAAAACGTGAATAACAATAAATTCAGAATTCAAAATCAATTTAGGGGGAAATAAGGAAATGTATATTTCCAGAAGGCTGAGATTCATGATCTAAGTATAACCTAGAAAAATTGCTGGTAAACAAGAGTTGCCACTACCCACTGAATGCAGAATTGTAGGACTTGGTTTAGCATTTCTAGAACTTAGCTTGTGAAATTGACTCCAGTGGCCTTATCGGCCTCAGGATGCTTGGGAAGTGATAACAAAGGCGATGTAACAGTTGTGGTACAATTAGGGCTAAGAAGAAAGGGCAGCCGTTCTATTAGTAGTGTCCTCTCCTTGTGTTCCCCCCTAAATCTGATTGAGGGGTTCTTCCAATTCTCTGGAGCTAGGGTTGCCATAGCTTGCAGAGCAAAAAAAGAGGACAGCCCGAGCTGCTGCCAGCCTGAGCTGGGGAAAGAGGTGTGCATGCTTGGGCTGGCAGCAGCCATGGCATGCAGAGCAGCCTGCGCCACCTCCCAAATAAAAACAACTCCCCGCAAACCCAGACATTTGCTTTAAGATGTTAAAATTCCCTCGGATGGGCATGTTGGCCCCCAAAAGAGGACAATGGAAGTTCCATTGTGCATCCAGACACTGACCAAAGGAAGGAACACAGTAAGTAGCATAGGTGCCTGGTATAAAAATATGAAGAGACCTAAATTACCTTCTGACTTGCTATTACGAGACCGTCATTGAGGGGACAGGGCAGGAGATAAGGACCTGCTAATTGGGGTCAGCATGTCTCCTTCTGGCATAACTGGGTCTAGGAGCCGCCTTGCGTGGGGTTGCCATTGACATTAAGTGCAAGGCAATATAAGGCAAGCAGGATTATGATGGGAGAGAACATTTGTGTGTAGCAACCTGCTCTACAGCTTTTGGGCTGTGCATTTCATAATGTGTTCTACAGTATGCTTAGCTATACCTCACAAAGTCAATTATAGTTCACTTGCAGAATGCTGCTCCCTTTGCATCTGCACAAAAAGTAAAATTTCCTTTCTTTCTCTTTTTTAATGACTCTGTTTGGGGGACTTCTAATCATGATTTGCGTACAGAACAAAGGGACCCATTTCCTGCTGTAATATAGAGTTATCGACTGATCAGCTTATTTCTGTGACATCTTTACATGTTCAGTCATATGTGCTTTTCTGCCCTTGTTCTCAATGAATTGTTTTTTTTAAAAAATCATGAAAAATTGGCACTTACATTGTATACATTTTGAGGCATATTTCCCATAAATGTGTGTTGTGTACGTTTAAGTCCTAAAATATGCTTCTGTATGCTTTTCTATGTATTCTCCCCTAGAATATTCAGAGTAGAATTCAACATTGTGTTATGAGAAAACATTTCATCTGTGTAAGCATTGCAGCTTGCCAGACAGAATACCCTCCTCTCCTTCGCCTTCATGCTGTACTGAGAGTTCTCCTGACTCCCTGCCAAGCCAATTTCAGACTGTGGGGGAAACCCCATTGTGCAGGGCTGCTTCCACTGACCAGGCTTGTTAAGTGAATCCTGCCCTCATTTCCCCCATAAAATAAGCATTTTTACATGCAGTTTTTAATCTGAATGTCATTGCAAAATCCAGAGAAGTGTGTTTGAGCCTTAGACTGTTGTCCCATCGGTGAATGAGGCCAGAAACTGTGAAATTGGGTTGGTTCATTTTTTAAAATGCAGACCAAAATTCTTCTCTATCCCTTATGTATCACTACATTGGCATATAACTAATACTTCAATTGTTTTTATCTCGCTTTTCAGAGTGAAGAGTTGGTATTAAGCAAAGAAACCAAAGAGAAACGATTGGATGATGGGTATTTCAGAATAGGTAACACTGTGTAAAAGAAATAAAAAAGAACTGTTTTACAAAAATAATCATCAACAAAACTGTTTTGTAACTGAGGTCCCATCTGTACTGTACATTTAAAGCAGTTCCATACCACTTTCAACAGTCATGGCTTTCCCCAAAGAATTGTGGAAACTGTTAGTTGTTAGAAGACTTCTGTTCCCCTCACAGAACTACAATTCTCAGAGTTCCCTGGGAATAGAGATTGGTCATAACACCACTCCGGGAATTGTAGCTCAACACCTGTAACAAACTACAATTCCCAGAATTCTTTGGGGGAAGCTATCACTGTTTAAAGTGGTATAGTGCAGCTGGGGCCTAAGGCAGCTTGTCTTATGGCCTGGTCCTATCTACCAAAGCCCCACAGAGGTTTGGGTGATGGTAGCAGAAGCCAGACTCAGATCAGATAGTTGAGCAGCAATTCACTTTTTGGTGTTACCAAGTGTAGGAGACGGTACCATGTAGCATACAGCATCTGTAAGGCATGAAGGAAATTCTTGATTGTCCTCCTATATTGTTAAAATAAACTCTGGATCGCTAAAGTAACATATCATAGCACCAGTTCTATATTTTTACAGGCTGACTATGATGCTGCTTTTAGTTGAAACAGAGATAATTTATGATATGAACAGAATAATAAGATGATAGTAACCCTTTATCTAGAAGTTTCAGTTGAGAGCTGTGATTTTAAAAATATGTAAGCGGGGGTATTTATTTATTTTGCACGCAAATCTCAGTCCCAAATAAAGAATATATTTGGATGAATGTTGAAAGTGATATATAGGGTTTGGGGGTGTTGTTTTACAATGTGATTTATGAGCCATTGAAGCACTGTTCAAACTGAGGCACAAAAATCCTGTTTTTGTCAAAAAGTAGATTTCTGACTGCTTCCACAAACTCTACCTTTTCCTGTGTTGCCTTGGGGACTGCCGCAGTTGTGAACCTTCAAAACTAAATACAGTAGACTTACATGTAAGATGTTCTTATGTGATGGCTTGTATTGGTTGAACGTTTTCATTTAGAATGCCTTTTTTGCTTTCTGAAGGCAAATTTGAAAATGGAATGGCAGAGGGAACAGTTGATCCCAGTCTAAATCCAATTGCAGCTGTCCGGCTTCTAGTAATACAGAACTCATCTGTCTGGGCAATTCTAAATGAGGTAAGATTTCAACAGAAATGCCTTGTATGACCAGAAAACCAACCTTCAAACCACTTCAGGTTTAAGTCTCTCTTTAAAATAAGTGTTTGTGACATTCCGAGTCTGTGACATTCCGAGTCTGTGGGATAATTTGTGACATTCCGAGTCTGTGGGACTATTGTGATAAACCTCTCAATGCTGGCATTTTGCAGACAGATTTTAGTCAATTGATGTGGCTTCCAGACACAAGTGATACACACTGCGGTTGTGTGAAATGCTGATGCCACAAGCTGACATCTCTCTCTCTCTCTCTCTCTCTCTCTCTCTCTCTCTCTCTCTCTGTGTGTGTGTGTGTGTGTGTTGCATGCTGCTTTGATAACACATGGGCACTTACCTTGCTGAAGCACCCTATGACGGGGTCAGCAAACTTTTTCAGCAGGGGGCTGGTCCACTGTCACTCAGACCTTGTGGGGGGCCGGACTATATTTTTTTGGGATGGGGGAATGAATGAATTCCCATGCCCCACAAATAACCCAGAGATGCATTTTAAATAAAAGCACACATTCTACTCATGTAAAAACACGCTGATTCCCGGACCGTCTGCTGGCCGGATTTAGAAGGCGATGGGGCCACATCTGGCCCCTGGGCCTTAGTTTGCCTACCCATGCCCTATGACATTCTAGTGCTATTAAGTATTTTTTGAATGTTGGGTTTGAACCAAAGGTGCTCTTCTCTTCATATCCAACCCAGAAGGTGTCTGCTAGCAGATGGCAGGGTTTGTGACCCCCCCTCCCTGCACCACCTCCCATGCTGTTCCAGATAATTCCCAAATCCTAGGAAATACTTTTGGAAGGGATTCAAAAAACAAACATTTTTCTGTTAGGTGCTGGAAGTTCTGCTCAGCTTCCCTATTATCACATTCAGTTTAAAAAGCGTTTTAGGAATCTGCTTTGTCAGCTGTATCTCTCTGTGTGGAAAGCAACAGTTTAGATCAGCTGGGATGTTTCACGGTTGTGGGACAAGACTTTGTTATGACAAAGGGCAGCTTCACAATGAAAGATAGACCTCCAGGGTTTCCACAGCAAACCGACTGGTTTATATTTAACATTGAAAAGGCACTCTTGTGTCAAAACACATGCATGCAGTATATGCACACCCAGAAGTCATGTTTAGCCTCTGCTGTCAAGTAGCTTGTAGACAATGTGGTTCAGTCACACCGGGGGATGGGGGGTGGGATTACAAGGAACTGTCTTTTGCTGTAATGTGTGGTGGTCTTTTTCATAAACAGGTGTATATTTTACCAGCTGCTTTTCAACTCTGCATTGCAGATTCATATTAAAAAGCTTCCAAACTGATCAATCAAGAGGAACAAAAGAGATCTCCATCTTTTGAAGACTTTTCTACAAAATCCACCCCCCAATTGCAGAGTGAAGTCACTGAGCATGCACCTTATTTCCAACTCTGACTTCTCAGTGAAACTACCTCTTGTGAAATCTACTGTAGTTGAGAAGATAAGACTCAGCAAGAAAGATTTATTACAATCTAGAAACTGACCGGTATTATTTATCTGGATCCATGAGTTCCTTCATGACTCTGCTGCCTAAGGATCACAGTATCCTTGATCCAAGTGATAGGGATACGCTACATGGAAGTTGTACATATTTTTACATTCCTCGGAGATGAAAAAAATATAAATACATTTTATGAAGGGGGTACTTTTTGGAGGTCCATTTATTTTGCTAATTCAAGCCCTCTTTTATAGATTATCAGGGATATATATTCAAAAGCATTAGGGGGATTTAATTTATTAAAATGATTTGAAAAGTACATATTTTTATGCAGGTAATATAACTCGATGCAGTTGGTTTTTTTTTTAAACGGATGATCTTACTTCTTGGGTTAACACTACATTTTGCTTTGGTGATGAAGTGACCATATTTTGTAATATACTGCCATGGTTAGGAGTGTTAAATGGGAGTTTAAAGATGAAGCACTTTTGTACCATACTAAGAACGCAACTTTAAAAAGTTATCCTGCACAGAAGTAAATGTGATTTTGCATAGGACAACTTCCCCTATGGCTTATGCCCAAAATCTAGGAGATGTTGTTCAAAGGCATACTGTAACATGCAAGGACTTTGAATAGCATTACTTTCTAATGCTCACAGTCCACAATATGTAATCGTAGAAAGCATGTTGAGGAGTTTTGTACTTCAGTATGGTGTGTGAATCTGAAGTTTGATTCATCCTCTCCCATTAAAGGGAAATTTTGATAATGGATTATTCCTTTTTAAACCTTTGTACAATCTTCCGAAACACAGCCAATTTATTCATTTGGATAGAAAAGCGCTCTGATGTTTCCGCATTTACCTTTTTGTTTTTGCTTCACATCCCGTTTTGTATGATCTCTGCGCATTCTTATGGAATGACTTAAACTTACCATTTTATTAGGGATAACAGTGGAAATAGGTAGATACACAGTAACCTCAGCTGAGCTTTTTTAAAAATGTGATTTGTCTGTCTTTACTTTCAAGTGTGAAAAGTGATTTTTTCCCCCTTTAAGAGGGCCCAGCTCCTGCTAAAAGCATTGCACTCCAGCTGACTGAAGCAAGGGACTTCGTGTGATTCTAGATGCTTGTTGTCTTTTGTACTTCAAGGAAAAGAAGAAGAGATCCTTGCTTGGTCAGTAGCCTTGAAGAGAGGCAATTCTAGCACTTTGTGCTCTGCAGCACAGTAAATACGCAATAGTATGTAATAATAGTTTTTAAAGAACTCCCTTAACCCTAGCCAAGATATGAGAAGCTAAGTTGTTGTTGTTTTTTTACCTCAACTGCACGCCTGTCACTCATGCAGGTAAACAGAAGTTTACTTAAGTGGTGGTAGTTTGTTTCATGAGCTGAATCTTAAGATAATTCTGCATCTTGGATGCCAGCTTTGCCAAAAAAGAACTGTCTGCCTTCTCTCAAGGGTGAAAATGATTTGTAAAATTTATGCGAATAGGTGTCTGCGAAAAGGTGTCTGCCCACCTTCCCCCTCATGAGATTTTTTTCTAAAAAGTGTCATAATAATATACATTTTAAAATCAACTTACAAATTGTTCAAGATGTTTCCACAATAGAAGTCCCCCTCCAAAAATATTTTTTTCTTGGTTGAATCTGTCCTATATTTATAGACTAGGTTTGATGAGACTCTTTCCTTCTCCATTTGGCTGGGAAGATAAGTATGCGCTTAAGATTTTATCTTGTTTTACTACTTTGTGTGTTGCCCAAAGAATGACTGTTATTGGGCATCTAATAAAAATAGTTAAAAAATAAAAAAGAGAGCTTGTGTAGCATAGTGGCCGAGAGCCTATCTTCAAACATTACCTTCCATGAGATCACTGGCTGGCCTTAGGTAAGCCACAATTTCTGTCTTAGCTCCACATCTGAAATACAGGCATAATGAGACTGCAGGGTGGTTCTAAAGATTTATGAGGCAGTTCAAGGCACTTAAAAAAAAGTGCTACATAAATGCTAAGTATTTACAATTGTCATTGGGAAAGGTCGAATGCTGTCTGTGGTGCCAAACTTGCATTGAAACCAGTGTTCGCACAACAATTACAGGAGCAAGTATTTATGCATTTTGAACCAGTGCTTGATGATTTGGTAACCCCACTGGCCTACTCGAAGGTAGGGGGCGTGTAGGAGAAATTCCAAGTCCGTGGGACAAATTTCAAAGCCAACTTTGTATGTGTTTTGCATGGGGGATAATATGCAGACCTGTATCTCCAATTTGATTTGCTCTGAACAAGCTTTGTAACAGCCCTGGTCTTCCACTTAGCATAGCAAAGCATGGGGGCTACAGCTCCTCGTTAAAGGTTGGCAGTATTGCTCCCAAGCTTGTACGCCTACAAGGTTTGTAAAAATGTGTCAAGAGTTGGGTATGAATTAAGCGGTTGTTTGATCTTTTGCTACAGAGTCCATCAATCAACACCCCCCTTCTAAGTTTATTCCGTTTGTGGCAACTACCCTTCTAATGCCCCTGATTTTTGTCAGCCAAATGATCATATTATTGCCTAGAAACCAAAGTGTTGTTTTCCTCCTTTTACCTAGCAGTCCAACTGGGCTTACCCGCCCGCTCCCCAGCAAATGCAACCTAATCTTCCACAGTATATTGAACATGTTGATTCTGGGGTGGGTGGGAGAGAGAACACAAATCAGCCAAAAGCAGGGGGCGTAATACAGAGATCGTGTGGCAAAACCACCACCAAAAGTCTCCCCTTACTCATTGGAAATAAGAAAAAAAAAACCCTGTCCTGCAAATGTAAGTTAACTTAATCCAAAACTTCTTTATATCTCTGGCCATTCTACAAAGATGACAAGCCTTTCAAATTAAGTCACATTCCCTGAAGATCAGATTTGTGCGTCACTTGTATTATGGTGTAGCTATTTGCTAAGGTTTTAATATACTATTGTGAATGTTTATAAGCCTTAAAAATAGCTGATTAGGATGACAGCCAGCAGGTTTGATTTCTTGCTTTTATTAGACTTTGCTAGGAATGATTACAATTTTGGTAAGTGAATGATGTCAGTAGTAATTAGTTTACCAAAGGAGAAATGATGCCCCAACTCCTTATTCCCAGTCCGCTGTGTGGTTGCCAATTTCTGTTTCTGTGCTCGTGGAACCTGCAACTTTGGCCCTACAGCCAGCCATGTTTCCATTAACCATTGACAGTACTTGCAGTACAATTTATTTTTTTGAGCTAGGTTTTGGTTTTGTTAATCTTGCTGCTATATTTGAAAACCTAACTGGGTCATGTTAACCGTGCCTTTCATCAATGTTCTATGTGCCACAGCTGCCCATGTAATATTTGAAATAAATATTTTGAAAAAGCGTTATTGAATTCTTAACCTAGTGAAAATAAGGAACTCTGTACAGAACAGCTTTCGGATCGGAGCTTTTTTTGATATACCACTTTACCATTTGGGTTCTCTCTAAACCCTCTTTTTCCAAGACTACTTTAGAAAGGTGCATACCAGGGGTGGGTAACATGTGGCCTGAAGCCCAAATTCTGTCCAACTGCAGGTACAATGGTACCTTGGTACTCAAACAATTTGGCTCCTGAACAAATCGGCTCCCGAACACCACAAACCCGGAATTAAGTGTTCCAGTTTGTGAACATTTTTCGGAAGCCGAACGTCCGACGTGGCTTCCACTTGAGTGCAGCCAATCGGAAGCCACGCTTTGGTTTCTGAACGTTTTGGAAGTTAAATGGAATTCTGGAATGGATTCCGTTCAACTTCCAAGGTACGACTGTACTTTGAAAACTGTTTATTACTTTGCCGTCTACACAGAAGAAAGCCTACTGAATCCAATTGGGTTTACTCCCAGGTAAAGGGATAGAACAGTAGCCAAAGAAAGTACTTCCACTAGCACAAGGAACTACCTCCCTCACTTTCCATGACTGCTTATATATGTTTTCAGGAGAGAGGGGAAGTTCAATTGTGCAAGCAGGAAATTGTTCAGCTAGCAGAAGTACTGTAGGAAACTGTGCTTTGTAATACAAAGCTGTTTACAAATAGCAAAGTCAATGCCTTTTCAATGTTGCACACAGTTGTTCTTAAAAAATATTTATTACAGTAATGTACAACTTTTCCATTAGGAAGGGACTGCAAGAGAATACAGAATCACTATAAGTCTGCAGTTGTAAATACATTTTTTAAAAACCAAAACTTTGTACACACTGATCTACAGTGAAGAATAAGTTATTTACAGTAATTTACAGCAGCATCTCACCTTTGCTGACAGTAGTACAAGAGGCAAGAACAAGCAATCCATTATAAAGGCTGCAGTTTATTTCACTCTGTACGTATAGAAAACACAAAGCATTTTTGTGAAATTCCATCCCATCGCTAATGAAACCACATAGAGCAGGATGAGAAGTGCAAACGGGTAGAGAAGGATGACTGTGTTCTTCAGGAACGGCAAAGCTGAAAGTAGGAGAGAGTTTCAAAAGTGAGAAAGCATGCAATTTTCTGAAGGTGCCAATGGCAAGGAACATCACAATCATCTTAATATTGACAGTCCTCAACAAAAAATTCATGCCTAAAATAACTACTGTTTCTAGTAAACGCATGCCTCTCCCATCCTTTACAGAAAAGAAAAACTTGAATCAGGTGGCTAAGATGTGGCCTTCCCTGATGTCATTGAATTATTAACTCCCAGCATCCCCAGGCAGCATAGGCAGAGGATGAAAAGAGCTGTAGTCCTGCAAGATATAATAAGGCTACCAGATGTCCCCATTGCCCAGGGACAGTCCCTGGATTTGCGAATAAGTCCCCGGACACATTCCATCCCGGGAACGTCCCCAGATTTCCCTGGGAAACGTAGCAGCAGCAGTCTCAGGAGCCCGGAGCAGTTGGTTCTGGCTGGCTTCAGGAGCTGCTCGGAAGTCCCCATATGATGGTGGTGCAGGGGCTCTAAGATGCAGCTTCCGGGCTGCCTCCACCTTCCCTGACCCCTGCAACTAAGCTGTGCAGGGAGGCTTCATGCTGCCTATTGGAGCAGCCTCCCAACTACTACTTGCGTGCAAGCAGGAGAGGGGTGGGGATCTCTCAGCTGTGAAGGGAGGCTTCAAGCTGCCTATCAGCACTTGCGTGCAAGCAGGAATGGTATTGGGGCTGCTCCGATGGGAAAGGAGGCATTGCGCTGCCCGAGCCTCGTTGCCACCCAGGCTCATGGAGAAAGGAGATAGAAGCCTCAGAGGAAGGGGAAACATGGTGGTTGAGGTCAAGGCGGTGGCCGCCCCTCTGCCACCACCATTGCTGCAGCATCAACGTCCCAAACGTGTAGTATTTATTTTATTTAAAGTGTCCCCGGATTCATGGAAAAAAATCTGGTAACCTTAAGATATAAGGCACAGCCACATGTCCTCCCGCCATTCTTAAACTTCATCTCTTTGGAATCTGGCTTGTTCATAAATATATAACCCAAAGGATTGCACAACTGGCCCTGTGGCATTTTGACCTTGTTTCTTGAGCAACAGCAACTACACCCCAACCATGCTGCATCACAAATCCATGTTTGAAATTGAATGAAAGTCCAGAATTTCACTGCCTGTTGCCCAACTGATACTGCCAACTCTATCCTAGGCAGCAATAGCAAACTCGCTCTCCCCGTATGGGTTCTGCACCATGCACATGAAAAACAGGGTAGAGAAAGGCAGGTTTGCAGAATGCAAAAAATACTAAAGAAATCCCCTAAGGGGGAAACCCTCCCCCTCCAAAAACACACACACACACACACAAAAAAAAAACACAGAAGGCTGACTTCACACATTCTCACCCACAGGGACAAAAGCATGCATAGCTGCAAGCCAGTATAGCTTCTGTTAGCTCCACATTTGCAAGCGCAGTACTTTCACAAAGGGATGTAGAGTAATGTGGCAGGTCAGTTAAAGCCACTACATATTACACAGCATTTCAAGTAACGATGCTGTGCAAAGCTTGTAGAGTTGCTGTCAGAGTGAGCCCTCCCCTGATGCTTATCATAAAGTTTACTCATAGTGAAACAGGGATTTAGCAAAAAAGGACTGGGAAGAAGGCACTATTCTTGTTGCTAACTAGGTTGCAAAGGTTTTGATACTTACCACTGTACCCTAGAAATGTCACGTAGATGTAATAACCAATTGCAGTCAGCCAGAAAGTATTCCCAACGAAATAGCCAATAAATGAATTCAATAAAATTACGTCTGCAAGAGAGAAAATGGAAGTTTCTTAACCTAGTGAACTTCTGCTCACTGAAGGTCCCAAAAAGGGTGCTGTGTACCATTGGGGTGTTGCCTCCAGCAGGATACAGAAACAGGCTGGAGCTCACTGTGGAAATGCTGCTATGGCACACTTTAGAGAAGGTCCAGCTGCTGGCCAAGTCCTTTGACAGGCTAACCTTGCCTGAAGCCACCTCCAAACTCACATAAGCAGGGCCTAAGCATTTGCCTGCCCTCAAGAGGAGGCAACTGAACACACCAAAAAGGTCAGGTCAAAGAGCAACTGCCTCAGCAGAAACACCATGTGGCCGTCTCCCCACTCCTCCCAGACCAGCACTGAGCATGGCTGTGAGGGAACCCAATCCGGAAGACTCCTCAGGGGAAAAAAAAAGTCTGGTTGTGGTACTAAACCGTGACATGAAGTAATGCCAGGTTTGCAAACTCTCACTGTCAAAAAAGAAGGGGCAGAAAAACAACCAGCCACCACCAACTGCCACCAGGCTAGACTGAAGCAGCTCTGAGAGACGGCTTTCCCACTGAGTTGGTAGGGAGCAGCCTCTGAGTAGAGGCCCCCCCCAACTCAGCTTGTGAATACCACCCCCCACTAGGCCAGGAAACAGGGGAAGGAAAGGGAGGGAGAAAACAGAAATGGGGAAAAAAAGACCTCTCTTAAAAAGAAACAAGAGGCAGCAACTGGTCAGGAACAGCCCAGCCCATGGACAACCTCTTGGTCTCGAAGGTAGGGAGTGCCTCCTCCAGAAGAAGAAAATTGCAAGATTTTGCCTCTCTGATCCTGCAGGATCCACCATTGCTATAGGGTGTGGTGCCCCCCAGGATCCTCCAGGTGAATTACAGTGTCAGCACAAAGCAAGAGAAGGCAAAAAATGCTTCAAGTCAGGAAAGGGAAGGTTTACTTACAATGGATGAAGAACAGCTGTATGAAATGTAAGATGACGAGAAGTGGATAAAAAGCATTCAGATGAACATCAAAGGCATATCCCCACTCTACATCACAGTCTCTGTTCGGGTGCTTTGTCAAGTACTTATTGGAGATAAACCTTGAGGGGGGGGAGAGAGAATTTGGAACAGACATGTTAAAAAATAGTATGCAAACTTTGACAGTTTCAACTTTTTGGCAAAATTGCAGCCTAGAAAAATTAATCCTTGTTATTTTCCATTTGTCATATTCTGAAGAACACAAATGCATTTATGGACTTACAGGGCTCTGGTAAGGATTACTGAAAAAACTACAACATAGGAAATGTTTTTGATTCCCTAGAAGCCAGCTAAACAAATGTACATGTCAGTAAAATGACTGCGGAACCAGGGCAAGAGGGGAAAGGTTCTTCCCCTATCCTATAACCAATGCAATATGGCCTGGTATATACTAACTCTGAATGTACTGTCCTTGTAATTCTGTAGTCCTAGCCCCTTGCACATTTTCTCTCTCACTGCAATGCACAAATATTTTAAAGATGAAAATGTTGATTAACATGGCAGCCAATGTAACAGCTGCAGTGAGTAGTTTTTCATCTCCACGGCTACCTTCAGAGACATACCCTGATATTTAAGTACATAACAGCCCAGCATTACTTATACATTGAGTATTTTCTTTTTGCCAGATTTTGAACTGAAACCTTCTGCTGGAACAGCACTACACATCTAGCCCAGAGATGAGAAACGTGTCTACTTAAACCCTTCTTCCTTACAAGTAGACAAGCTTAGGACTGTGGCTTAAGGTTCCAGCAATCATATTCTATACAGCAAGATTCAAACATGTCAAAAAAACACATCCAACTCTACTTGGGTTGTTTTAAAGACTTACCACATGAAAGTTGCAATTAGAAGGCCAACTCCTACGCAGTCTATAAAGATGACCCAGAGCAGCAGCTTTATCATTTCAACAAAACCCAAGCCCAACACAAAGCCGAATCCTATAGTGGATACTGAAGGAGGAAGACGAACAGCAGAGACAGAGGATTAACTCTTGACATGCAAGTAGGTTGAAACAATACCCATTTGCTCTTAGATTTTCTTTCACTTAATTTTACTGGAACAGTACTTGTAGCATGTTTAGTGCTGTGCTGTTTTAAGGCTTACAGCGTAAAATTGTTGAATATATGGCTACAACTAGAATTTGCAAGAGTAAAATGTGTGGGCTGAGTTCACTACATTTACACAAATAAAGCAAGAAACGGGCAGCTATGTGATCCATGGCACATGTTTGTGTAGGATGTGGGACACCAATACAAATAAAGTTAAACCTTTCTGTTCATAAAAAAGCCAATCACGCATTGTTGCACAGTGCAGAAATAAACAAATCCACAATGTAAGTTCTTAGATGGCAGAATTTCTGCCTGCCTCATAATTTTGCCAGGGTAATTAGATTTTTATCACTTAGGGCAGGCATAGGCAAACTCGGCCCTCCAGATGTTTTGGAACTACAACTCCCATCATTCCTAGCTAACAGAACCAGTGGTCAGGGATGATGGGAGTTGTAGTCCCAAAACATCTGCAGGGCCGAGTATGCCTATGCCTGACTTAGGGCTTGTCATTCTTTGTCACATGCCAGGGATCACAGAACTGAGAATTTTAATACCATGCAATGCACAGAACAGATTTGCTGTGGACTGGAGGATGAAGTAACTGAAGCCAAAATGTGAGGGAATCTTTATCAGTGTGGATGCGGCAGGTATTGCAATCATAGTTTATTCCCTGCTTATTGTTTTCATGGATGAGGCGCAAGAGGGAATGTGTAGGAATACATGTTCCCCACTGAATGAAATGATATAAGCATGGGTTTTACACAGAAAAAGCTACAGCAGTACAAATGATGTATTTTTCTGGAGCAAGCCCAGCTCTGGTCAACTATTCCCTGTACGGTATTCAATAAATTTCTCAGGCACTCACCGCAGAGCCAGATACTCAGCAACACAAGGAAAGCTGGGTCATCTCTTGCCCACTGGTCTTTCGTTTGTTTCCTGTAATGGAAGTTCCTGTACACTTTCTGTGGTGAAGTGAATAGATACAGCATCTGCCACAGAGCAAACTCGAAGTCCATATGCCGAAAGTGAAGGAGTCTCCTCAAGTATTTGTAGCGCTTGAACCCTGCTGTGTGCCTGGCTGCCTCCCTAGAGTTTAAAGAGCCGTTGTCATGGTCTAGGGAATTAAGAGACGTGGTAGGCAACATCTTGCTGAAAGGGAAAGAAAAGAGACCAATAGATTTAAAAAATATAAACAAAATAAAGGTGCAAGTTATCACATTTAGGTTACAATCCTTAAACACACACATCACAGAGTGAACACCATGGAACAAATTGGAGATTGCTAAACAGAGAATTTTGCCATAAAGCAAGTCACAGGCAAGGTGAGTCTTTGTAATAACAGCTGAGCAGTAATAAGAAGAATTGGGAACGACTTCCAATGGAGGTCTTTTGAAGCTAAATTGCTGACATGCTCCCTTGGAATCTAGTGGATCTTACCGCCCTCTGAGCAGGCTTGGAGTGACACACCCTTGTCACATGACCCCACTTTGTTCTTTACCCTACCTGAAAACAATGCATTGTGACTGTGATGCAATGTCTTGACAGTGGACACAGCTCATATCAAGTTCAAGATCTCTCAGTAACTGCACAAACTTGGGCACCTGCAATCTCCTTTGCTCTCTTAGAAGAGCAAGGACATGGATGCAATCATGACCATATTCCTTCCTTCCTTAGTCCCAGAGGGCTTCGTGAGCACATAATTCAACACTTGGCAACTGCATATAAAGCTCCATCCTACTCTTTTCTACCCACAATAGGCTAAAAGTCTGTTCAAAATAGAGGAGGCATCAATGTGGCTAGTTATGGTTGTATAGCAGTGGATGAAGAAAGTTGGCAGAAGCAAGCAGAAGGAAATGGAGCAGGTGAGCAGAGCTGGGATGAGCAACTGCCCTTCAATAATCTGTACAACTACTAAAGAGCTTGCTTTCAAGTAATGCTGCAATCACAGAACAGCCATTGGCACCAACTGGACATCCAAGTAGAGATACTTAAGATCACAGACTCTTTCCTTAAATCCATTTTGTCCTGTTGCCACTGTTAACAGCTTGTTGCAACCCTGACTCTTGTGGCTGTTACATACATGCAAGCAGCAGGGCTGTCAGGGCAGGACTTTAGGGCAGATGTTCAGGACTTCATCCAGCAGAGTGAGCCAGAGAGCCTCCAAATGCGTCAGGGCTGGCTTATCACAGTTTGAAATATATGATACAGTACACATCATCATTTAAAGATAACTTTCCTCCTTTGTGGAAGTCCTGACTATTCTCCTTTTAGGCTTTCACCTCCATTAAATGCTCTTCCATACAAATAAATTCCTTCCACACAAAAAAACTGGGGTGGAGTCTTTCTTCCCACCATCTAGGCCTAGTTCAGATGCAGCAAGAACCCCACAGCTCATGGTTGCAGCCACAAGCCTTAGTCTTGCATACTCCTCTGGTACTAAACACATTTTCCATTTCACTGAAAATGAGACCTAAGCAAGGACCAGATCCTGCACCATGACTTCATGAAGCACCCCTAAAGGCTTCACCACCAAGCTTCACAGCCTCCGCCATATGCATTTCTCAAATGCCAAGCAACTCTGGTGCGTTAGAATTTAAAATGAACAAGGATGAAAGTTCCAGCATCACACTGACAAGAAAAAAAGCAAACAAGCAACAAGCTAGCTACTATCCCCGCCCCCATGACTTACAATACAACAGGCATATCCAACTCCCAAGAGACTGTGATCTACTCCCAGTATAAAAAAAATCTGGCAGTGATCTACTCATTGTCATTGGAGGGAGGAAGAGCGTGCATGCGTAGGGTGGATGGATTGCCCAGAGTTGTTGAGCTTTTTAAGGGGAGAATTGCAAAGAGTTTTTTAGCTTCCCCACCATATCTTTTTGGGCATGATAAAGATCCCACAATCTACCAGGAACAGCCGGGGATCTACTGGTAGATCGCGATCTACTGGTTGAACATCCCTGCAATACAAGATTCCCAAATGGCTAGTGAGGGCTGGGAATGGAGAAAGCTCAGTGGACATGGATGTGGAAGGAAAGCGAGCCAGTCAAGGAGACTGGACAGGTAATAAAAGGCAGAGAACGAACGTTTGCATAGATGGTGAAAGAGGAGGAGGATTATTTATTATTTATACCCCGCCCATCTGGCTGGGTACAGAACAGAAATAGCTAAGAAAAGACGTAACAGCCCGTATTTTGAGAATATGCCACCCAGCCAGCTGACTGGGTGCGGTTTGTTTAGAGTGGATACAGTCAGGGAAAAGGCAGCTGGTCTCCTTTAGCAAAAACCCAACGAGTTTCAAGCAGCCTGTCCCACCCCACCCCACCTGGTGTGTCAGTGGCTGAGTGGGTATGGATAATTTCACACGACCTCAAGTGCCCCCTCGTTAACCCTGGCTCGACACGGGTGTAGGGGGTGCGTGTGAATGGGGGGAGCAGGTGCTGCTGAGGGAGGGGCCAGAAGGAGGACGCGGAACCTGAGCGTTCCAGAACCCCGAGCGAGAAAACTCACGGAACGTTCCGCGGCCGCTTCCGCCCCGCGCAGCACTGCGGCTCCCGGCCCCGACGTCCTGCGTCCCTCACGCGATGAGGGGGAGGGAGCGGAAGGGAGAGGGGCACGCGCCTCTCCTCCCCACCCTCCAACAGGAGCTCGCCTTCTGCCGCCTATAAGCCGCCGCCGCTGCCAACTCACAGCAGCTGATCTGCGTGTTTTCCTCAGTAACTTCCGGCAAAAGGGACCCTCCCCAAGGCGCAGGCGCGCCGAGGTGTATGACGGGTAGGCCCCGCCCAAAATGGATGGTAGAGAGGACGACGGTTAGACGTCGGTTGCGCACACAGAGCTTTAACAAAAAAAGTGTAGAGCATCCCCTCACTTTACATTCTGTGCTCGAGCAATTTCTTTCCCCTTCCCCTGCGTAGAAATGGACGGCAAACAGCAAGACTTTTAAACGAAGCCGTGGTTGGGCAGGATGGTCTCAAGGACAGATGGATCATGGATAGTTTCGTTGAGAATCCTGGGGATCCCTTCCAACCCTGACATTCTATAATTCTTCCTCCTTCCTTACAAATTGTTGCAGCAAAGACACGAGTCGCTGCCGTAAACATATCAACCTTCGACCCAAGAGGAGATGCGACCTTTGGTAGAAGAGAATCTTCTGCCTTTTGCTGCTGCTGCTTTGTTTGTGTGGGTGTGCCACTGGCAAGTCACCTCTAACCTAAAAAAAAGGACACCTCTATTAAATGTACTTGTTCTATGTTAAAAAAATGGCTCCTTGGAGGGGAAACAGGAAGTGACGTCTAGTTCCATGCGACCTTTCAGTAACTCCCTGCGCAGGTGAGAAGGGTCGGCCAAGATGGCGGCCGCCACCGCTGCTGGGGCTGCGGTGGGCAGCGGCTGGGGCTGCTGAAGGCGCCGCCAGTCGAGAGACAACACCGAGAAGCGGCGACAGGCGGAAACCGGCCGCCACGATGCCCAAGTACTACGAGGAGAAAGAGAAGGATTTCCGTGCGTGCGCAGGGGTGCGCGAGGACCTGAGGACTTGCCTGCTGGAGAGCGACTGTGTCATCCAGGTACATACCCTCCAACATTTCTCCGATGAAAATAGGGACACCTTGGTCCATAATAAAAATAAATAAATAAATGAATAAATAATTTTATTATTTATACCCCCTTATCTAACTGGGTTGCCCCAGCCACTCTGCAGCTATATAAAAACATCACGACTTAAAATGTCTTCTGAAGGTTGTGTAATTACTTATCTCCTTGGCTCTTGGGTTGTATAACTGCAGGGCTTTTTTTTCAGAGCGAGAGCTCACCAGAATTGAGTTCTGGCACCTCTCAGATGGACACCGTTGACATTATAAGAGAACAAGGGAGGTGTTCATTGTGAGTTCCAGCATCCCTTTTAAAAAATAAAATAAATAAAAAAGCACTGCATAGCTCCATACTCTCCAACATTTCTCTGATGGAAATAGGGGAGTCCTAAGGAAAAGTGGGACGTTCTGGGATCGAATCAAAAACCAGGAATGCATCTGTAAATCTAGGACTGTCCCTGGAAAATAGGGGCACTTGGAGGGTCTGCAGGTAGAGAATGGCTTCAGAGACTGGCCTACCGTTAGTTCAGATGAGATTGAGAAAATTGGTTGTAAAACTCTTGTCGCCAGGGGAAATACCCCGTTTCTTGCTGGCTTTCAATGTGCTGTGAAGACCTTTTTGATTCCACAAGGTTTCATTTGGGTCCTGCTGAGCCCTACCTAGTTGCTTTTAAAAACATTTTCCTGCTGTAGTCTCTTGTGTTCTTTTAAATTGTTTGTTTCTGTTGTTTTTAATCAGGTTGCAACCTGCCTTGGGAAGATTTTATATTTGATACAACTTGTGTGCCTGCTGAATAAATATGCTGGCTGCTCACTTTAGTATCTTTTATGACAGGAAGGGAAAGGGCCCAAACTGTGCTTGAAGGAAGGCCATTGCAAAGGATTACTAGTTTCATTTTTTGAATGCAAAAGATCATTGGTGAGTAAGTGAATTGTACTGCAAGTTGTGGTCACGTTTAAAAATATGTACCATAGTATGTTACATATAAGACACAATTGAAATATTTTTAATTGCTACGGGTTTTTTGGAGGCCAAATTCCCCTAAATTCCTGGGTGTCAGATCCTCCTCATAATTTCTGCATGTAGTAAAAGTTAGAATTAATCAGAGTTTGATTAAACTTTGCCGAAAACAGAAACCCCGTGGATTTAGTTATGCTAACAATCCAAGCCAGCTCTGCAGAGCTAACTGAATAGGCCATGAGCAGGAGGCAAAGGCTGGTGATGGCCCATCAAGAAAACCATCAGAGGGCAAGACTGCCAGGCAAGGGTATTGGGACCCCTTCTCTGCTGGGTGCTAGTGGGCAGAGGCAAAAGCTAGGTTTAGGGTTTCAGTTTTGAATGACTAGGCTTTGGGGAGGTCCTTGGAGTTTTGCCCCTCCATCTCACTGCCAGCTGCCTCCATGTGAGCTGGGGATATGCAGGCTGTAAGAGACACAGAGGATGGCTTTGGCTCACCTTTGAATCCAGTGCTGCCCTTAAGGGGGAAGCCAGACCCTTGTAGGATGTGAGTGCTCTGCAATCCCTTCATCTAGGTGCAAGTTGTATATATGTGCAAATAAAACCATACATTAAAAAAACAGCAGTCTCAGTTGTGCCTCACTGTCCCAAAAGGGAACGCAGACCCAGGTAAGCACACCTGCAGCCCCTGGAATATTGCACCACTTATGGAGATTGGGGTGGTGGTGTCACAATATCAATGATGTTACAAATTTGTTATTGCTTGGAAGTGTTGCTTTGTTTTATTTACAGTAGCATTACTGTTCCACTGATCCTGAAAGGTAACAGTTAAAATAAAAGAGATGGGATATTTAGTGTGACGGTTTAGGTAAATATTAGGTTTAAATATACGTACAGAAATTTATTGAGGAAAAGTTAACCATATTTTAAAATAAATAAAAGAAGCATGATGTCCTGGCCCTCGCTGCCAGAAGAAGAATACGAACTCCCAGTTCGGTTTCTGCCAAAGATTTTAACACATGAATCAAATTGGTGCATAGGTAAGGCACAGGAAGGTGCAGCAGGTACATAAGAGGTATAGACACATGGTAACGCTCAAGACATTGATCCAACAACCAACATGCCCTCTGTATCTTCTTTTTGAAGAGCAGGGCAGGGACAGCTCAGCATAGCAGCCAGCCAGAGTCCAGGAATGGGCAAGCATCCAGGCACTCTTGAATGGGTTGGGTGTGCAATATTTGTTTGCATAGGTGCTGGCATCTCCATGTCCTTGGAGAAGGGTTGGCATTGGTGTCAGCTCAGCATCCAATTTACTCTCACTCATCTGCCTAGGAGGTGGCATCTCTACACTGACCGCTTAGAAACTTTTTATACTATAAGCCAAAACATTCTTGTAGAAGCTTGAACTTCTTGCCTGGCTGCTTGGGCTCATAATCCAATGATATAAATCATTTAATTGGACTGCATTTGGAATGTCTTAATTGGAGACTAGTTCAACACCATAGGAATTGATTTGCACTGTCTGTCAAGTCTCTATGCTATAAAAAAATTACCCAGAGTTTTGAAGCTGGGTGTTGTCAGTATGTTGAAGACAATCAGCTGTTTATTTCTTTCAGCATCCATGAGTGGTAGTCTTGGCCCTAAATTCAGCAGTGTCTGGATACTATGGGATAGTGGGTGAGGTTAAACAAATGTAAGTTAAATCCAGACAAGGTGGGGGTGATGCTGGTGGGCAAACCCAATGCTTTTGGGAGACTTGGTATTTATATCTTCTTTGAGTACACACTGCACTGAAGCCTCTTCAGAGCCTTAGAGTTCTGGAAAAACAGGTAGTGTCAGTGACAAGGTGTGCCTTTTATCAAGTGCATCTGTTGTGCAGCTGACCCATTTTAGAGCAGGGAAACCTCACCATGCTAACTTATGCTTTCATAAGCTTGAGGATTGACTGCTGTGAATGTTTTAATATGGCACTTCACTTGAAGATTGTTTGAAAACTGTAGCTGATGCATATTGCCACAGCCTGTCGTTATCTGATGGATATGTGGGGACGGGTATGAACATATCCAGTATGCACTGCTGTTTTTCTAAGACTACCAGCATGAAACAACACACGTTATATATACCTCCTCTCTCTATAATCCCCCTTTCCAGTTAAGATCTTTTTATCAGCACCTGCTTTCTTCATCTTCATTATATGTGGTAAAATTATCAACAGCTAGGGATCCTCATAGTGTAGTTACCTCAATTGCAGTGACTTCTTGAGGCTGGTGAGACTAGTTCCTACCTTCCTTATGGCCTTAAAAGGGGATACAATATGTGCTTAATTGGGGGTGGCTTTGGAGGGTGGCATGATGGTTGTCCAATGGAAATCCCTATTTATTATTTTTCTTTTTTACTGCTGAGCTTATTGTTTTCATTGTGTTCATTTTATTTGGTGGGTTTTTAATTGCATTTTTATCTTAAATCTGGGAATGATGGCATAGAACAATTTAAAATAAACTAAGGGTCATAACTTTTTAATGGTTCTGTCTCTTGTATCTTTTTATAAGGCACCATTAAAACTGGTAGTTGTAGTATTAGAGTGTTAATGGTTGTAATATAAAACTTGTTTTTTCTTAAAAGCTGGATAACAGAGCAAGATTCAGAGGAAGAAAGGGATACTGAAGATTCTCCATTACGAAGCAGCAAGCAGGGGCAATCTTGGATGCACTGACACCTTGAGATTAAAGACTGGAATGAAGAAATTACCTTCTGCATTTCCCTAAAATCTGTTTCACTTCTATGGAAATTATTTGTGTTCTAAGTACTGAATGCCTGAAGCTGCTAAATACTAGAACTACTACAGTGAAAATAAAATCTGGCCATTTGTGGTGATCACATTTTAAATGAAATGTATTGCATCTTCCTAAGCACTTTAGAGTCCTTCACCTGAAATGCTTCATTTTGGGATTACTTCCTCTTGGGGTTTAATGGTTGGATAAGTTTTGTCTCCCAAGTTATAAAGTATTTTTGTACTAGCCTTTCTTTTTGGTATTCTGCAGTGATACAGAGGTTGTCAGCTAGCTTCACATAAGGGATAGGTATTCTGATCTAGGAAGAGATATCTAGGAACCAGTGTGGAACCAGTGTCATAACCATGCTGCAATGCTGCCTCTGAAAACAGTTTGGAAACTTCAACTGGTGCAGAATTCAGCAGCCGGTTGCTCACTGGGGCAACACGGTTTGAGCATATAATATGAATCCTGGCACAACAAATTTATTTCTGGGCCCAATCCAAAGTGCTGGTTTTGACCTATAAAACCTTAAACAACTCAGGACCCCCAATTATCTCAAGGACTGCCACTCCCTATATGAACCTACCAGACCCTGCAATCCTCATCTGAGGCCCTGCATGTCTTGCTTCCATGAGAGGTCTAAAGGGTAGCAAAACGAGAACAGGCCTTTTCTGCAGTGCCTCCCCATTTGTTGAATGCTTTCCCCAGGGTGGCGAAAATATTCCTCTTCACCAAGGCCTTTGACTGTTTAAACAGTCTATGGCCTTTTAAATGTGTTGGGGGTGGTTATTGGGGTTTTAATTTTTGTTACTATGTTTTGTGTTTTTATACTGTAAATGGCCCTGTGATCTTTGGATGAAGGGTGGTGTATAAATTTAATAAATAATGATTATGCTCAACCAAGCCAAGTCCTGTGGAACTAGCTGTATCTCTGCAGATGGGGATGTGCATTTGCATGCAGACTCCTAGAAATAATACTACCAGAGAAACTGCCAAGATTTGGATGCGAACTGTTATGACTATGTAGTCCAATTTGATTTCTGCCTCAGAGTATAGAAGTAACTGCAAGCTTGCACATTCCAGATATCAACTGGTATTATTCCACTGGCAATAGTTTCAGAACTAGGACATTTTGATATTGCTTTTTAAATTTTCCCTTTCCGGCAAGCATGCTTCCATTATGTATTGGAATTGAAGATCACAATTCTTTTACTATCTGTCTTGAACACAGTTACTGTGTTCAGTAAAGAACTCCCAGCATCATTATTGGTACCTTGATGGCTAACAAGTTTGTGGTGACATGAGCTTTATTTTAAAAATGTGTGTCCAAGGTGACATACGAAAACATTAAAATGATAAAAGGGTTCATCATAAGGTGCATGAACATTGTGTTCAGCAAGCTTTCTAACAAAAATACTCTTTTGTAAAAATAAATAAAAATGCTGAGCAGAGCAATTCTAAATGGGATCAGGAACAACTTTCACTGACTTACATCTGCCGTATGAAACCTTGGGAAGCAAGCCTGGTTTTTTAAAGGTAGGTGCAGGTGTGTGTATTTCATTTAATGCAATGGTCTCTTACTTACATTAGAAAAAGGCAAAGGTGCATGCTCAGTTAATGTGCTTTTTTTGGAAGTACATTTGTTTATTAACACACACCCCATTTCACACATGCACACCCCAAAGTTTTCATTCTGCCTCTGCCTGGATGCTCAATATCTCTGAAGTGCAAAGTGCTAACTTGAATAAACTACCTCATCTGTGAGAGGAGGTGCGTCTGAGAACTCTTGCATGGATGCCGTCTAGACCTGGCAATTTGTCCGATGGTAATTTGTCTCTTAAACCTAAATTTTTACCTGCCATCTCCACTTATCTGCCTTGTTAGAACCGTGACAGACGTGAGTCACTTTACACGTTCTATTCCCTCCCAGATTCACTGATCCAATTTTCTTTTCCTCCTCTCCCTATTATGGTGTCAGAGGGAGAACAAGGTAGCTGTACTATAGCCACTTCTAGGGACAATTGAGTAATCAGCGCTTTTGACCACGGATGGTAATGCATTTTAACAAACAGCATTGACCTGCTTCATGACCTGAGTTTGGTACACGTACATATGTAAAAATACACGTGTAAAAATAAATTGGGCCTGCTGGACCCGTCTGGATGCCGAATTTCAAAAACGAGGACTCGTCATGGTGCTCGGTGAAGAATCGAAGGCGTGGCCTCTTGCAACCCGGCTCTCTGGGTGGTTCCTCAAAAGTCAACGGTGCAAAGAAGAAGTGAGCAAAGGCAGAGCTACCGTAGAGGGTTGCACGGAGCGCGCGAGGCGCCGGATTCGGCCTGCGGCCTGCGCTGGCCGCGTGTCTCCTGTAGGGGGCGGCGCAGCTGCTGAAGAGCCGCCGGAGGAGCCTGGCTGGTTTGTGGCGTCATAGCCGGCTGGGTGTACGCGCGTTTGGGTGGCGGGCTTGCTGCAGCGGCAGAGGCTGCCCTGGGGTGTGGGGAGCAGCAGCAGCCGCAGCAGGAAGGAGGGGCTGCAGCGTCTCCCCGGACGGGGCGGGGGCTTGGAATCCCGTCCAGCATGTGGCGCGAGCCTCGCTGAAGAAGAGCAGCGGCTCACCTGGAGCGAGGTAAGCGGCTATCCTTTGGTGAAGGGGCGCTTCTCTCCCCCAGCCCCGCCTGTGTGTGTGTGTGTGTGTGTGTGTGTGTGTGTGTGTGTGTGTGTGTGTGGAATCCCTGCGGCAGACAAAACGCAGCCAAAACAAGACGGGTGGTGGCCGGGGCGGTGAGGAGGCAGGAAAGGTGGCCGAGTCGTAGCGCATCCTATCGGGTTGCCTCTTCTGTTTTGCAAGGAGCAGCCTAGATGAGGAAAAGCGTGTGTGTGTGTGTGTGTGTGTGTGTGTGAGAGAGAGAGAGAGAGAGAGAGAGAGAGAGAGAGCTCGAAAAGATACGTGCCCTACCTCTTTGGGTAAGGATGCTGGCCATTTTTTCTTGTTTAAAAAAATGCTTTGTTTTGACGTTTTTTGAGGGCGGGGGGAAGCTGGACGTGCTGCGCTTTGAAGGCGGATGCCGTCTTGGAGACATCTTTGAGGACAACTGCCGTGCGGGTCCCACTCGGATGGAGGCTGCTGTTTTTTGTTCAGTTTGTGGCGTTGTCTGGGCACTGGATTTGTGTCATGCAGGAGCTTGAGTTGGCAGGAAAAAGAAACATCCCTCGAGTTGGTAAAGGATATGGCACATCTGTAGGTGTCTTGCTGGGGCATATGGGATTTGTTTTGAGGGAAAACAGGCGCACAGGCCGCCTTGACCAGACAAGCGGGCTTTTCTTTTCCTCTGAGATCTCTTGTAAACCTAGACATCGTTTGAATAAAGTGTGAGCGTCTGCTATATTTTAAAACAAAACAAAAAACCTCCCTAGATTATATATCCAGTACTTGTTCCTTGGTCCTGGAGATTTAGATAGCATGTTGTTTATGGGGAACATTCATTTTGAAAAGGCCTTGAATACTTCACAAAGGCACATGAGCATTTTATGACAGCAGAATATATCTTATATAAAAAAGCTCCTTGAAGGTGCTTTTTCGTTTCCTCAAATGCTGTAAATTATGCATGCTTGAAACTGCACTAGCAACATTGTTCTTAAAGAGAACATTTATGGCTGGTCGGAAAATGCTTGTAGATATCTTTCTAACTGATCAATCATAAATCTAGGCTTCTTTTAAAAATGAAGAAATCCTGGCAGTAGTTGAATTAACTGTCTTGATTGTTCATAATTTTGTTCATGAGGTATGTAAAGTACTCTTATTATTTTCACAATAGCTGTAGGCTGAGATCATCATGGCTAGCTGAGAATTTGATTCTCTCAACCTAATTCCAAGTATATTTACTTTGAAATAAATCCTGTCAAAACAGATTGTGTTTTCTGATGGCAGTCTTTGTCACCCAAGCCCAAACCTGATACCCTCACCCACTCCCATGACATGAGCCCCATGGGTCAGGGTTGATGGGAGTTGTAGTTCAACAGCATCTGGGGGACCACAGGTTCCCCATACCTATTGTGGAGCTACTCAGTGCATTATCTTAGAATGCATTATCCCATGCAAATCATGTGTACTTCCCCCATACGTGCACCAGAAAGCTTGGGATTCATGACTATTTGAGGGTCTGCATTATAAAAATAGAGAGCAATAGAACTCTTTCTTCTTAGGAATGCATAAAAGAAAAAGTATCTGGTCTCTTTCGTTTTGCTGCTAAAGGGCTCCCTTAAAAGGTAAAGGTACCCCTGCCCGTACGGGCCAGTCTTGACAGACTCTAGGGTTGTGCGCCCATCTCACTCAAGAGGCCGGGGGCCAGCGCTGTCCGGAGACACTTCCGGGTCATGTGGCCAGCGTGACATCGCTGCTCTGGCGAGCCAGAGCTGCACATGGAAACGCTGTTTACCTTCCCGCTAGTAAGCGGTCCCTATTTATCTACTTGCACCCGGGAGTGCTTTTGAACTGCTAGGTTGGCAGGCGCTGGGACCGAACAACCGGAGCGCACCCCGCCGCGGGGATTCGAACCGCTGACCTTTCGATCGGCAAGCCCTAGGCGCTGAGGCCTTTACCCACAGCGCCACCCGCGTCCCTAAGGACTCCCTTAAGTGTTCCACAAAACTGATGCAATGCTTTCAGTTTCCTCCATCCATTTGAGAATTAGAAAGTTTGAAATGTGGGATGCAAAGAAACTTTTCCCAACCCCACCTTAATGTGTACATCTTATGTTTGAATGTTTAGAGCACACATGTCCAACTCCCAAGAGACTGCGATCTACTCCCACTATAAAAAACTAGTAGTGATCTACCCATTGATGGACCAAAGTTGTTGAGCTTTTTGCGGGGAGGAAGACCCAAAGTTGTTGAGCAATCAGGGGCACCCACGATCATGATTGACCCATTTGACAGCCCTGGTTTAGAGCATTTATCATATATGGGGAATAATTGAAAATAATGTTTTTCAGATATTCTAGTTTTCAGTTTGTTTTTTTAAAAAAATACATTTTCATGTAAACTCTGGCATGTCTGCAATACAACAACTACTGCATTTTTCAGAGGATTCTTGAGAGTTTCCTAGGGTAACTCTCAGTTTTCACATAGCTCTGGCCAGGCCCCTACTTCTGCTCATGTGTGAAATGAGTCTGTGCCCTAGAGCAAAATAAACGCTCTGCTGAGGCAACGTATTGCAATAGAAGATCAGCAGCGATGAGCAAGCTGTCTTTCACAGAAGCTTGCCTGTCATACATTTTCAATTATGGAACCCCTGGTGAGCTTTTTAGGAACCTGGCATTTGCACCTGACATCCTTGAGCAGTGGTCAAGACCTTCCCTTCGGCCCAGCACTCGTGAGCAGCACCAGGTGGCTGAATCTAGCTGCACTTTTAATTTCTTATAGTGCCACCAAGCTTGCTGTTCTAGGCATTGTGCAAAACTGCAAGGATAAAAAGACTTAGCTGGCAAGTGGTGCTTGGAACTCTACCATCACATTCAGAGCCCATTGACAGAGAAAAGAGGGCCCACCTTCAGATGTTTTGCCCAGGACTGCCCCCAAACCTGCCGCAGGGTTTCTTAAACCTTAAGTTGCCCTGCAACCTATTTTGCAAGCCGCTTGCAGAGATATGAGCTTGGTAATGCTTCATCATGGTATGATTCAATATTTCCATAATAAGCAGATACCCATTAACAGTGCCTCGTTTTCTAATGTCCAAGAACAAACTGTCATAGATTGCTCTATGAGAAAGCCCATATGTGTGAATTTGCCATCACAGTGCTCCCGAGTAGTGCCAGAGAGGCTGACTTCTGTTTGCAGTATTGCCTAATCTCTTTAATCAGCGTTGACTGTAAAATGATGGCAGAGATCCTAGTTTAGCAGTGAAGTTTCAATGAATCACTAGTGCCGATAGCTTGCAACTGGTTGGTGACAGAGAGGGACAGAGAAGAGTATATAATCTCTTGCAGGCAAGGAGGGGAGTCTGTTAAATGGCTTCCTGATTATTTGTGTGTGGGATAATTCTGGTTGAGAAATGGGACGGATGTGTTTTCTAAATGCTTCTGACTGCAAGGCAGTTAAATTTTAATTACTTTGGTGATGGTCACTGTGGGTGGATGGCTGAAAGCAAGACGGCACATATGCAGGATATGACTGCCATCATGTTTTTCTGCAGTTTGGAGGCAGTGCCAATATTTTTTTCTCCCCCTCACTGGTATCACATCCATTAGCTAAGCCTCATTGCTTTTCCAGTAATCCCTGTGGCCGTTTGTAGACGCTTTATAAACAGCGGCCTGCAATTTTTGACTGGCATTGAAAGCTGAGTATAAAAAAAGCGATTTCCATGTTCATCCCCATCACCACCTCCACCTGCCTTTCCAGCAGAGAGTTAAATGACTTGGACTTGGCAAGGCATGCTGGGTGCCCTATCTTTGCACCCCAAAGGCACTCTGCAGCCCCCACCAAGGAAGAAGGAGTGAATAAAGCTCTACATAGGGAACAAATGGAAGGAGCATAGATCTACATCAGGAAAGGGCTGCTGCTGGTCGAATCAACCTTAGCTGATGGTTGAAGTGGGAACCAAAGGCTGCCATAGGGTGGAGCGGGGGAACGGGACCTGTTCTGAATCACAGCAGGCAGGTGCAGAGCTCAGGAGGCCCCAGAGGGCAGCCCCCACATATCCTCCCTAGGGGTGGGAGGAGGAGACCAGCAGCGCCTGCTATTTGCCAATAAGCCACTGTAGAGGCGGCACTGGGGGGCCTGCTGAGGAGGTGGCAGATCTAGATCTGCCCATGTGGATCCTGCTGCCCGAGGCGGTCACCTCACCTTGCCCCATGGGTGGGCCGGCCCCACTTGCAAGTTTGGCCATTCTGAGGTAGCGTGGACTTGGCAACCTGCGACCAAGCGACCCCAAGCCCTGCTCACAACCTTGGAGCTTGACAAGGGGTGGGGGTCATTGGTGCACAAGTGTTTGGGATGAACCCGCCCCAGCAACTGTAACATTGGGTGTAAGGGTTCTTTGCTTGTCGCGCTCACCTGAGAGTGGTGATATAGTTGTTATGGCAAGAGCGAAATGTTGACTCCTGTTTAGCATGATGATGGAAAAAGGTAGGCCTTGTAGCTTACTCAGTACAGTGGTACCTCAGGTTACAAACGCTTCAGGTTACAGACTCCACTAACCCAGAAATAGTACCTCAGGTTAAGAACTTTACCTCAGGATGAGAACAGAAATCACACGGCAGCGGGAGGCCCCATTAGCTAAAGTGGTACCTCAGGTTAAGAACGGTTTCAGGTTAAGAACGGACCTCCCGAACAAATTAAGTTCTTAACCAGAGGTACTACTGTACAGTGTTCATCACCATTTGCATGTCAGCAGGCCCCCTGGGACTTCTGTTTCCTTGTCTGGCATAGGGATGGTTACTATCAGTCCAGTATTATCCATATTCTGATGCAGAGGAATAGAAGGCGAGCTATTATTTGTTTGAGGCACATATGTGGCAATCTGCCAACGATTTATTAAAGTGTCATGCTGACACTGTGTTGCAAATTTACTGTCACTGAGAGTTTTTGTCTGTTCAACCAAGCCATCAGCTTCAGCACTAGTGATATTCT